TTTTAACCAATTATAACCAGTCTGTTTCAAAGCATTTATTTCATTTCAAAGCATTCGAGGGATATTATTTGCAGTTGAACAAATCATTTGAAATAGAATTCCAAGGCCACAACTTACGTCTTTGAAAGCCGACCGTCTGTACGAAGAGTCTGACAATTTTGAAATTATTTCTGCATTTTTATCGCCATTGTCTGTCAAACCTTTGGCAATTTTCAACAGAATATCTACGAGGAGGCATTTATTATAAAACATAGCCGTTGTAGGTGGATACTGGTCTGGTGTGGAATTTGGATATATTTATATATTTATACATCATATTTAAAAAAATACAATAATAATTTATGTATTTATTTGATAGCTCTGAAGTTTAAGGCTTTTTGAGTAGATGCTCGATAAAAATAACTTTTTAAACGTTTCTCAATATGCTTTTTCAGAATAACCTTCATTTAAATTTGGAGCTTAAAATAAAGACCAAATTATATACAGCAATATTTAGTGATAGTTTGATTGTTATAGTGATGGATAAGGATAGTGACATTGTGATATAGATATAGTGATAATCGATTTTAATGTTTTATAGTGAACTTATGGATAAAGTAAACTATTTTCTTCAGATGATTAGGAAGAATACAATTAAGAAATAAGAAGATTTATCAAAACATTTCATACCGGTGTTATTTGCCAGACGTTCAAATGTTGTGAGCAAGTTTGCTCTTTGAAGTTCGGCATCTTGGAAAGTCTGAAAAAGATACAGCTGAGAATTATCTTAAAAATAACAAATCTCAAAGATGCTATTAATATTTTTGGATCTCACCGTCTAGCAATAAGGCAATAAATGTCGATATATTTTGAAAATCTGGAAACAATAAACAACAAAGGATAGAAATCTTAATAATTGCGATTGATATCACAAATGCTTTGTTTGTGTCAAAGATTTTGGCGTTATCTTTATCCAGATTGGTTGTATAGCCTTTAGGAGTTAACTATTGAAGATGAAGTGCAGCTTCTAACCTTAAACACAACTGAATTGAGCTCATTGCGAGGCTAACCGTTGGATACATGTTGCCAAGGAGACAATGCTTGACGACAAAATGGCAGCTTAAATCCGATATATCGTTTTCACTTTGGAAGCGATCAAAAGTTTTGTTTCATTTTGTTTTGGTTGAGGAACCAGTTAAAGATTTACGGGGGAAAAGTAAATTGCTCTTTTCATAACTAGATGACTCTGTATTCTGTAGGAATGAAATATATGTGGCATTTTATCGGGATTTAAATCACTCTTTTTCCCCCCGGAGAAGAGTCTAAATTGTTCTGGCACATTGTATTAGGCAAAGAAAAAAAGTTAAAAAATTCTCAATTGCCGAAAAAGTGCTCTTGGACAAAAATATTAAGCTCTCTTCATTCTTTATCTTTTGAAAATAAGCCCATTTTGTGAGTAATTCAGTTTTTTGAGAAAACTTGATTCCTTACGAGAGACCTTTCCAGGTACTTAAATATTTTTTTGTCGCCTTAGGACATAATCTTTTTTCATAATTGTTTTTGATGTTCGTGTTTTAGTCAAATGTTTACTTGAAACCTCTGCAAACTACTATTGTTGCCCTTTGTATTGAAGGCGATTGGCGAATAGCCTTTTGTTGCCTTCTACCGTTTGATTTCCACTTTTAGCTCCTTGATAACTTTGAAAGCATGTAGAAATGTGGAACCTACTTGATTTTATACAACTGTGACGAAAAAGAGAGATGAAAAAGTAATTATCTTTTGAAAGATCAAAATTATCTTTTATTTTTATGTTTTCCAGGATTGCAGATGTAGTTTCTGAACTTTAAAGACATGAGAGATTTCAGATAGGCTTGTGAAAATTATACACAAAATTAACCAAAAGATGTCTTCTTGAGGTGTAAATGTCTGCATTAACTAAGAAACTTGGCCCTTTATTGGTGATAACCAAGAATTTTTTTTCATGCCTTGATGTTATAATTCTCTGAATTTAGTAATTAAAACTTCGCAGCAACTCACCCATCCTTCGAACTCCGCGTTCGATAAACCAGCAACGGCCTTTTCCGTGTTTTCCATTTTGAACATTGACAAATTCTTCAATAAAGATTAAAGAATTGTTATCAGCATAAAATGCAGGTTTTCCGCAAGCAAAATTTGCGTGTAGCAAATCAGTTGAGAAATTCACAACAAAATTTTTAACGGTTTTTTCGTTTTTTAAGGTTTGATTAATTTGACGTAGAAACTGTCGCAATGTTTCCAAGGATACCGCGAACATCATGCATTGCTCATTTGCAGCAGTTCGAATGTTTGAAATCTAGAAAATCTGTTTCAATAGTAACATCGTTAGATCCCATGTTGATTAATATGTTTAAATTATCGGTGTTTTGGAAATCAATTTTCTATTTTAATGTCAATTTATTTAGCCTTTTCCAGTTTTACCGGAATGTGGCCTTGTTGGTCTTTTTTGAATTCAGCCAGATAAAGACCATTTGGTACGGTTTCCAATCGAATATTTAATTTCATGACGAATTTTTTGGTACTTGAGTTTAGAAGGATCTTTGGCTTTTTGTTTTTTTTTAAGTTTATTTGCTGTCCTTGACGGGGCTCGACATTTATTCCAGTTCTTGGAGAATTGGCGCAGGGACTGCTTTTTTTCTCTATGAAAGTATTCGCTTGTTCTTCTCGTATCTTCTTTCTTCCCTTGATCTCCTCTTATCGTCTCTTTTTCATCGAGTTTGCAGTAATTTTGGATTAGATTTCCAAATCAGCGACAAGGAATTGGACTCTTTTTGTAGAAACATGCAAGCAAATATCTCACTTTGTAGGTCTGTTTGCCCAGGGGCTCGTCATGGTTATCAACAGGCTTGTATGTAAATCTACCTGACGAACTAGTGTTGTCATGGGTAATGTCGGACACCTTCAATTATTTTGCCAATCTGTCAATACCACTTTTTCTTTTCGATAAAATTGTTTGTTCCATTACATAAGGAACCATATCTATAACGAAATTTTCTGATGAATTTATTTTTACATTACGTTTACATAAATTGTTGTTTTTCTGAAATCAGCGCTAATCACTCAATGTGTATATAATGTATAGAGTAGAAGGGTAGTAGCGGTATTTATTGAATAATTGTCTAATTTATTTTTAGTTTAACCCAAGTAATAAAAACGAGCTCAAAACACTAAAGTGCCAAAAAGTTTTTAGAACACTTGAGCACAAATTACATATAACTACACCAGAGGAAATTTAAATTTGAAAGTGCTATTAGTCACAAATGTTTCTTGTCGCCTTTGTCTACAATGTACTTTGTATTCATAGTGTGTCAGTACATACTTTGCCTAGAATAATGCATTATTATAATCTGAAACTACCACGAACTTCGTTTCCAATAACTTTCAGAATCGTTAGAAATGGAATCGGAACCAAAGTTCTAATATCTAAAATTTGCTAGAGCATTGAATATAAGGTAGTGAGTATTTTTAAGGAGATTTCACTAGTAGGGAAAATAGCCCAAAGGGCCTACAATTTTTAAAGTTAACTGCTTATCACTGGCTTGCCATTGATATCCTTAGACATACTATATTATCAGGAACATGGCTAGCAGTTATAAGTTTTGATTCTAATTGTTGCTTGTCAGTATAATCATCAAGCTGAACGGAATAAGGAACACAGCCCTTTAAGCAATCAGCTTGCTATGCGGTTCATGTCACTCTTTCACGTTTTTTATTGTATTTCTTTACGGGGAAATTGATATCTGTAATGGTGCAATGAGACAGGTAGACTGTATGGTCCAAAATTTGTGCCCAATCCTTTTTTACTAACTAAGCGAACCTAATTGTTACTCTGCTCTTGAAGGTCAACTTATGTATCATTATTTACATCCACTTCAATCTTATTTTCTTTCTTTGTTCCTTGTTTATTTCCCCTAAGTTGTTTGCCACTACTTATGTTAGTCTTCTTTCACGTCCTGATTGCTCCTCGCAGGTACTGTTAGGTCAAATGATTTACGATCCTCGTTGTTTAACTCTTTCCTACTTATGGTTTAATTGTTGCTCTTTTTTAATACTTTACTAAAGATGGCTCTAGCTAGATTGAAAGCGTTTAAATTTTTTTCCAACTCATTATTTCTAAATGTTTTCCGTCTACTGACTATTCCTAACTAATTTTGTCTAACCTCAGCCAGACCCCGATCATAGACGCCTATATCAAACTACTGACGACCTCGTGACCTCAATATGACCTTTTATGACATTAATATGACCTTTATATGACCTTTGTTGAGAGTCTTATGATCATTGTCGAAGGCTTTATTTTACTTGAGTAAAAAAGGTCTTCTTGTCATTCTATATTGAACTTGTATTTGTTAATGAGGTTTTTGGTGGTTGGCCTTAGTATTGTTGTTGTCGTGCCTTGAGATTAGTTCAAAAGCCCAGAAATATGTCTTTGAACTTCATTAATTGTTTTTAAACTATTTGTTGAAAAAGGTTCGTAATTGCTCGTTTTTATGCGAGCTCTCGGCAAATTTTCAAATTGATTCAAAGAAAAAGCTATTTTTCTTATGTGATGTCAGTTAAAAATTAAAAAAACACCTAATAATTGATCCATTTCCAAAATCTTTAGAATATATAGGCTCGAATAATGCAAGGGTTTTGTTATATAGATATTGTGTAGACGAATGGCATCAGGAAACTTTATTGCTGATTTTTGCCAAAATAACTGGCGTTGCCTCAAATGCCAAGTTGGAAGAAAAAAATTGTGTTTTAGACATTTTCTCGTAAATTGTCTAGCAAAACTTTAAAATCTAAGTTGGATAAAAACAACATCAAGAGCATTGGAGTAAGAAGTAAGATTGTTGATTCTAGAACCTCAAATTGTTTCTAGAACCTCAAATTATTTAGATCTAGAACCTCAAATTATTTATAAAGTAAGAAAAAAGTGTAGGCTGTTCTCTTGATATTTTATGAAAAGTGTAAGTTTCTAAATTTTTCAGGCCTTACAGATGTGTCAATCTTTTTTAGGAACACAAACTGAAGATAATGAAAAAGGAGATTCGCTGGTTCAAATCACTGCAAGCTCTGAAGAGGCAAGAAGCGAAAATATTCTAGAGAAGATTTTTCCATAATTCTTCTTTTTTTAAACCAATGTCACGGCTTTGATATATCTTCTCTAGATATCAAGTAGAACTATAAAAAAGAGACTATAATTCAAGATTTCAGAGCTGTTTATATACCGATAGGCATCCAGATTACAAAAAGGAACAAACAAAGAAAATTAATTTTTTTTAAATTAATTTATAAGTTTAACAAACGGATTGAGAAAAAGTGCATTGGCGGGGAATCGAACCCCGGTCTCCCGCGTGGCAGGCGAGAATTCTACCACTGAACCACCAATGCGATAGAAGAAATTGATAGATTAACGGTATATATTTGATGGAAGCCGTGTTTCGTCATTCACTCGCCAATATTTAGTTTGCGAAAACAAAATTGGGGCCCTTTTTAGCGTGATAAATTCTGTTTTTTTGGAAAAATAAGAAAATGGCTTGTTATATCGACTTTGGAAGAAATTCCCTGAACATTCATCATAATTAAAGCGTACAATTTTCTTCTGCTCACTGGGTAGCACATATTTTTTTCGTTTACATAGATGAGGCATTTGGATTTCTTTCTGGTCTCAAACATTTCTCGCTTCACATTGTTTGAGATAATAGTTGTTTGATTTTCTGCAATGGCCCCGTTTGCTGTCTCAGCCATTTGATATTCGAGTGTCATTTCCTGCAATGGTTTTTATTTGAAGTGTATTCGGTAACATGTATTGCAATTTTACTAGAATGTTTGAAAAAGCTGCAGAAGCTTAGTTTAAAGTTTTTCGTAAATTTTGATCTCCATCTTCAGTTTTTGATTTTTTGTGTTTCATCAAAATTATTCAAAAGTTGTCGATATTTGTCGTTAAGTACAAGGCGAGGAAACCTTGGTGGATTAACAAAAATAAATTATTTTGAATTTTTTAACTTGCAGATAAATCGACGCATCAACTCATTTATACACCGGAAAAAGCTTGAGGTTGATGCTTACAATAGGCGAGAGTTTTGCGTTTTCAAAAGTAACAAGGATGGTACGGACTTTCATGATTCTGTCTGGAATTGTTTTTTTTATGCAATAATACAGTTATGTTTCAAAGGATTTATGAATATTGTGATCCTAAATTTTAAGCGAGCTATTAGGTTTCCAAGAAGCTTCGATAAAATGAAAAATATCACTACTGCACAACTTGATAATAAATTTGGAATTTCTTGATAGAAAAGATATGATACTAAAGAGTTTTCAATTAAATAATAAAACACAGTAAAACATAGCCAAACGCAAACACAGCATAAACACAGTTATAGTAGAAACTTATAAAGAAATTATTGATGCAAAGGAATCAAGATGCAAGGCTTGTAGTCTTGAATGTCCTTGGCGATTGTCCCAAGTCTGTTCCAGAATATCAGGCAACTTTGTGCCGTCTGGAAGCTTTATGATCTAATTAAGTTTTGGTATATATATATATAAGATATTTATATATAAAAAGCGTTCATTACTGATATCATAACCTACTGCTGAATGTATGCTACTTTATCAAGAGATGAGCTGTATTGCTCTCCAGCATGAAAACGATGTGAAATTTCGTCATTCTGATGGTGTTGAATTCTTTTCCTGACAAAATCTAAATTAATAGACGAAACATTACATACATCACGGTGTCAATTTGACTTAAACCAAAGCTGAATGTACTGTATTTACACGTTTATTCTCTTTGATCAAGGTACTCTAATGTTCATATAAGCTTTGGGAACCAAAGAGAACTAAAACATGTTAAAGACAGTATCACTGTGTTCCGCTTTTTAGTCTCTTCAGTCTCGATGTTTCAGGCTACGCTACTATTATCGCTAGGTCGTCACAGGAATGTATTCACTATCCTTTCCGTCTGTCAGCATTTTTGGCAATCCTCTTTTTGTTCTAACTGAACATCACAGTGTTAACGTTGGTTGTCACAACTTCCCATTCTTGCTTCTTCTACTTGGGCAAACACTTCTACCTTAATTTTCCTCAATTTACCGTTGTTCAAAAAAAATTGCACTACTGCTTGTAAATCATGAAAAGGCATCTCCAGATCTAATATGACATCATTCAAATGTTTTATACGCAAATAGCCTGCATGTATTTTTTACATTTGTAGAGTCAACATGTGCCAGAACGGATGCAGCATTTGTGCCAAGGCATGGGAAGAAAAGTTTATTAAAAAGTGAGTTTGATGTGTAAATTATTCTTCGACCAAAATTGAACGGTATGGACTGTAATGTTTCAGTTTATGAAGAACTATAGACCGATACCTCTTTCTACGTACACATGTTTTGTGCACAAAGTTGAAGAGTTTTGTAATTTCGTAAAAATATTCAATTCTTCCTTGTTCAAGTCGCTGTTAAAGGCAATCTGTCACGACGTTGATTGGTTATAAGAACAAAGGGATTTTTATTGTTTCCAGCCCCCCTTCAATTTATCGTATTGTAAAAAATATGGCGGAGCGCTGGAATCGTGTTTAGGCTATTGTTCTAGCTATTGTTCTCGTTAACCAATCCACAACGAGACAGATTGCCTTTAAAATAAGTTAATTGTTTTAAAGTTTTTTTAAAACCACTATCGCTAAAGCCCGGTAAACAAGTTTATTTGTCCTTCCCCCCTGATAATTCGTGACCCCAGTCCTTTTCTTCCGAGCAGTTGTTTCATTTCATGCTTCCTTCAATTCCTAATATTTCCTTTCTTCTTTTGTTCCCTGTTCTCTCCTTACGTTTTGGACTTTGACCAGCGACAGTGCAGCACCCCCTACCCATCATGCTTTTGCGAACAGAATAATCAACACGGTACATGATAATGAGTTGCGTGATGCCCTAGAATGTGATCCGATTACCTACTGCGATCTACTTAAGCTTAATTTCAGATTTTCAATTATGATTTGCTTTTAGGAAAGGTGGCAATCATTCTGCAAAAATTCCACTTCTTTTTCTCATATTGCAATAATGTACTGTTATTTCTCTTTAACATCACCTTGGTGTATATTCTTCTGAAATCATCTTACTTTTTAAAATGCGACCATCTTTTTTAGCGTATAAGGTTTACAATAAGCTGGATACCACGCGAGCTCCCCATTCAAAGCAGACGTCAAGCCGATTGAAAGGGCTCAGTAATGCTTGGCGGCCAACGCACCCATCAACATCATTAGACCTAAAGCACCTCCCTGTGGAGACGTATGAAAGGGTTGACAATCTGCATCAGCATGTGTTTGCAAAGCCATTACAAAAACCAAGCGATGGTACTGTTCTTGATTTCTTCTTTTGATTTTCTGTCTTTGTTTTCGTCATCGCTAGAATGCTTTCCTAAAGAACCATATGTACACCAATTTTCAAACTTGTCTTCAATGTAATGAAATCCTAACCCTGAACCAAAAAATATCACAAATGGCCTACCTTTGCTAGCCTGCCCCTAGCTACTTTTTCGATCTTAAATTTTTAGTGAACGGCCTCTCATTGTTAGCAAACTTTGCTATCAAACCTTTCAGTCTGCTAACATTATTGTCCTAGTTCATGCAGTTTCAGTTTGGATAAGGTTAAGATCTAGGTTTTTTTCTGCTACTTGTGATTCATATTTATGGACAATGATATAACGTAGCATGATTTCTGCATGAAAAGCAAATATCTAGAACCAGCGGGTTAAACATTGTCTTTTGAGCCCCCATCATACATTACGCCCAATTTTGAACTATTTTAGTTTTAGTATTGCCTGGCCAGTTTGTCCTTTTATTCACTGCTCATTAGTTTCTGCTCATCTTTATACGTATTAGTTTCTGTTGGATTGTGTTTATTAGTAGTACAAATGTTAGTAGCAAAAATATTAGTAGTTTTTTCTTCTCGCAGATGAAAACCAAGCCAGTCATTCTGCCTTTGTGAAAATCAAGTCTCTAGAAGATCGTGTTTTGCTCTTGGAAGGCTTGTCGCCTGAATATTTTAGTCACAATAACAAGGTACCCGTTATCTGTCCGTATCTTGTCAATAATCTTTCTAGCACTTATGCATCTTTCTAGCAATTTTGTTTTCTCATAAAATGCTCTCGAACTGATAATAAATATTGTACGCTTATCTACCACGTGTAATGATAATTTTTGCATGAATTTCTCTTTTCAAAGGAAATCCATTATCGAGAAGCAAAGGATCTAGAAAGGACGTGGCAAACAGATTTCAACCAACAGGTACCGTAATTATATCCTAGACAATATGTATTTAAATATCCAGCCAAGTCACAGTTTATTCCTGCCAAAGTCAATTTTACCGGTTGGTTCTTTATTATTAACCAATCAGTTCATTAGCAACCACTCAAGTGGAAAAACAGAAAGGTTTCTATTACCATTTGTAACCTTTTGTGCCCTTTTTACTTTTATTTTGCTTTTGAGGACCTGATAATTTTTTAAAAGCCATTTTTAAATCTTTCTGCCTTTAAAAATACCTTTTCTATCCTTTTCTTGAAAGTTTGTTCCAATAGCGGTTGACATGCTTTTATGGAAAACCTTAAAAATTCTTCTGTATCAAGTCTGCTGTAAATATATCGACAGAAAGCTTTCTTGTAAATGAAAGTGTTAAAATCACTGTTATCAGTTTATAGCTCTATTCTATTAATACAATTCGCTATTTTTGCTGTAGCCTGTCTATTTTGTGAATTGATCTAGCAAGTAGTCTGAATCAGAAACTGTCAATTTTCAAATATGATACATCCAGTTACTCTGTGAGATCTCTGTGGTATCTTTGCAATTATAGTAGCCACCAGCAAAAACATTCACAAATTTTGTGGAAGGCTCGCTTATTCAGTGTAAAGAATAGCGATTAAAGGTCCCGGAGACAATCAGGTGATTGGCAGCGACAATATGATGATTTGGGCCTAATTGCCATTTGAAAGCAAATCACTAAAAGTGCTATAAATTAAATATGAAATTCTTCAATATAATTCGATAATGACCTGAGTTGAAGACATATTTTATGTTACAGTCAATATTTTGTGAATTAAGTTTACAAGTTGGTAAGTTTGCCCTTCAAAAGCATGTCACGACCGTGTAGGAAAATTCTTTGGGGGGAGATTATATTAAATAATTTGGGAGTTAATTCAAAGTTATCTGCCATTGAGGTAGCGAAAGTAGCTAAAAATCAAGCCTTTTAAGGTTTTTACTTTTTTTGGAGCCACGTTCTGAATTGTCAGAGTTTTGAATCCACGGCATGAACTTTTAATTTCTTTTCGTTTTGAATTCACGGCATGAAATTTTTATGTTGCTTTCTTCATTGTTGCTGTTTTTTTTGTTTTTGTTTTTTGAATATTTTAAATGTTTTTTTTCATTCAAACGGATACCATTATTTGACGGATATCCTTTCGTGGACTTCATTAAAAAGGTAGCAACTGACAAATTACCCGTTTTCTAATGGAAAGCCAATACTGGATTGAATCTTATCTCCACCTGTTTCAAATAGTCATAGTGAATTTATCGATTTCCTCCCTTTTTCAAGTAGTTTTGTGTTCCTCATAGGGATATTTTAGTGACAGACTCGCTTTTGTCTCGTAGACTTCAAAGGACGCTGTTTTAATGGACAAAAGAATCAATGAGCTCAGAGGAATTCTGCAGTCAAAGTCAAACCCAGGCTCAGTAACGTGAACTCTTGATGTTCTGAACCCTGTAATGACAAGTATAGATGAGGTGTAGTAACAAGTATATGTAAGGTTTTATAAAGTTCTTTCCTCATCATTGCCAGTTGAATTGATGAAATTAAGTTGCCTAGTTTTACCTCATTTTCCCAGTGCAAGAAAGTGGCCATACGGCGTTTTCGAGTTTGCTTTTATCCACAATGATAATTCATGCTAATTATTGATGACTTAAGTTTTTTATTCCTGCCATCTGAAGGCAATAGTTCCTTTTTCGATTGACAGGCTACAAATTTTTGACAGCCTAAGAAAGAGAAACTTTTTCAACGATCTTGAGCATTCAAAACAAGATCTTCTTTTAGTTCCAAAGACTTGAAGATGGGTATATAAATAGATTTTAGATCATTCATAATAGTTTCATTAGAGCCACGTTTATCCTTAATCTAGAATTTCTAGTAAAAAGCACTTCTACAAAACATGTTTCTTTAAAAATAGACATTTATTCCTATATTTGTTCTCTTAAATCTAGATTTTAACATTTCCCTTGAAAATGTTCTCTATAACAATATAATTTTGTTGATTTGTGCTTCTTAAAATCTGTTATTAACTGTTGGTGATTATTTGTAAACAACTGATTCTTTTTTTTTGTTTACTATTTAAAATTAATTGTTCTAGTTTCTTTGAGCGTAAGAGCAACTTTTAAACTGATGCAAACAATTACCATTTTCATAATTTCAAGAGACAGGGGTCTATGCTTTTCGATGGAGTTTTTCTTGTCTCAGGGTACCGTTTCCAGATTATTCAAGATTATGCAGATTAAAATGATTATAGTTCAAGCTATGATCAATGCAGCTTTTTATGCAGCTTTTTGCGACAAAATATCAGTTGAAAAGCAGTTTATAAGATGACGTAGCCTAATAAAATTTTAGTTTATTTACAGTTTATGCTTCAAGCATTGATTGGAAATAATTATGTTAGTTCTGATCAACCTTGTCTTGGTTCTGTTCAAAACAAATGAAAATTTGTTGTTTTTCTTCTGCAAAACTGCACCGCGAATTGGATGCCTTTTAGGAGACAGGAGCATTAATTACAAGAGACAGATAGTCAAAATCTATGATCATTTCAACGAGAAACTTATTATTCCGCAAGGAAGTATAAAGATACAGTTTATGTTATTACATAAAATATTACTGCAGATATCAACAAATAAGAAGGAGAATTATTTTATCTCGTGGCATTCTCTAGCCAATTCTTGAATATCTTTTTTAAAGTATATAATTCAATTTTATTAAGAACCAGCCGGAGAAACCAACGTGTGCCTTTCGCCTGCCAGAGGAGCTGAAAAGGGCTAGAATTTTTTTCGAAATTTAAAGATGTTAATTTTTCAAATAGGTTTTGTGTTTTTGGGAAGTATCACTGATAATTTTCTTCAATGAGAATTTGATCGAATTCCGTAAAAAGATGTATTAAGCCCCCGGGAACATATTAGATCTTGGAGGTTCTTAGTAGGCCAAACCATAGAGAAAGAAAATAGAATCATCCTCATATTTATTTTCAATTTTTCAATTGATATTCTATGGTTAATCATGGTTGATATCTCACGTGATTACTGCTAAGTATGTTATTGGTCCTATTACATGAAAAAGAGAGCTTTCGAAAGTTGGGGAAAGATCTGCTACGTAAGCCGTTGAGGTATATATAATCACGTGTTTTATTGTCCAGCGCTACCAAACAAGCTTGAAGATCGAGGGTCAAAGTTTGCCAAAAAACTAATGCTAAACTATCCTAAAACACATGACATAACAAATAAGACATTTTAAAGAAGAATTATTCTAAGCATAAATTTTACTGTCTTTCCGCTAGCTTATCCGGGGGTCTAATGCTTTCACGATCTGTAGAATTATCATCTTTCGAGTCCTTTGACCAACAAACCGGTATATATAGATATGTAAGTTATTTCACGAAAATATTCAGCTCAACATCCGCTCCAAACCATAAAGATGTGTCAGTTCCTCCCAAATTCCAAGACATCTTCTATCTGCCTGCCCCCTCTAATTTGCACACATTATCCCCCTGTGACCATCAATAAAATGGCTTATACAAGTCATAAAACTGGCCCTCCACGGGGGTAAATACCGTGCGGAAATATCAGTATTTCAAAGTGATGGTCGAACTTGATCGCTGGTTGTTCACAAACATCTGCGCTATGTAGAAACGAGAAAGTTTTGTGCAAAGACCACTGCAAAGCCTAAACATGGCTGAGAAATTGCCAAAACCAAGGCCCATGAATTTGTTTTCACAATGGGAAGTGGAAGGAACTTCGTCTAGCTGTGTCCCAAGGTTTGTTTTCAATATACGTATTTGATAGCAACCCTCACGGGTTAGATTTATCTAAATAGACAAAGGGGGTACACTTTTCAACTCAAGATAAAACAGGTTATTAAATTTCTTCCAAAACTGATGTGGATTTTGGACAAAATGGATTTTTGCACTTCGTAGTTAACTTAATGTGTTGAATTACCTGCAGTGAAATCTCCCCACGTTTGCCGATTGCAGAGGGGAAAGAGTCTACCATTAGGCCTAAATCCTCAGTAACTGCTGAGTGCAAAAATACTGGAGTTTTCTTTCTGCACTTAAAAGCCAATTGAGTTTATAATACCTACAAATTCATTTTTTCTCGAGGAAAGCGTGTGAATATTCCAACTAGGTGCCATTATTTTGCACATCGAAGAATTTAAATAGCTTCGATGAAAGTTGTTTTTGCACCTTGCAATTGGTTGGGAGAACTTAAATCACTGCAAAGGTATCTGACATGACCTTCACTATATTGATGTTTTTTTCTGGTCAGTAAATTGCATCGAAGAAATGACTCAATTATACATCACTGTCGGCAAAGGAAGATTATAACCGAGTTTTAAAGTTACATTATGCTCATGTTGAACAAGTTACAAGACGTTCCTCTTTGATGAACAAACCAAGCCAATTTTTGTTATTAGAAATCAAATCATATTTTTGCTAAAAATATTCTCTCTTTAGACTGAAGCAAAGCCTTTTGCAATAGGTACTATGCCCAACATTTACATTGTTTGGAATTAGATAGCAATTTGCAGAAATTTCAGTGCCACTTTCATTTGCAATTACTGCACCATTAAAACACATACCATGGAAAGACTCTTTTTAATTCACAAATTAATTCAATAAGAGTTCCAAAAAAGCAAGCTATTGACATATATATACTTACTTAATATCATTGTTTGAAAAACATCCAACACAAGTCCAGCCCTGTTAAAGAAGGTTGACCTAAAATATGTTAAATAACATATAATGTTATGAAACTGAATAAAAAGACATAAAATTATCCAAAAAAGCCTAAAGGTCACAGACACTTGGAAAGTCTTCCCAGATGCAATCCACAATGCTTGTGTGCATAGACAAGATATAAATATTGGGTAAAATCAAAGTTACCTGGATATACATGCCATTTTATTTAATTCATAATTTTCAGCGTTTGTAATTATATATTTGTATTTGTGTTATCGGATTTCAAGCCTGCTTCTTTTTGCAGCTGGAAATATTCGTACAAATATTGATATTGTGATTGCAAAGAACATTGCCTGTCTTAAAAAAAGATAATTCTAAAGGAAATAGAGCCCATTAATTGCTAATGGTTGATATCAATCTTGCTTGTTTTTCAACAAAGCTAATAATCAAAGATAGCAAATTTTGTGGTGTTTGATATGAAAAAATCATTCAATATTTCTATTTCTACCTGTTTTAAAAACAAACAAAACAAATTCAATAAAGCCCATATGAAATGAGTTTTAAAAATAGATAGACACCTTGTTTCAAACAAGTTTTCCAATGATATAGAAAGACTTAAGGTGAGTGACACTTTCTCTTAGAAGACCAGAAGCAGTACAGATTTTCTTCTTATAAGAAACTTTGAGCAGCAAGTTCTAAAGGTTTCTTAATTTGGCATCCAAACTTTGGCTTATTATTACTAATAGTTTCGTAGTTGGTTTCTTATTTTTGGAACCTGAAATGGATTTTAGATTTGTTTTGGATTTAAGCATTTTTGGAAGAATATAAACACAGATCATCGCTAAAAACCAATGCCAAACAAAATCTAAAGTATGCTATCTGTTCAAAGAAAATTCAACAAAGCAAAAACTTTTGGATTCTTTTTTAAAATAGAATTTCAAATTTTTTTCAAAATTTTTCCTGAGCCTAGTATATATTGAAGTTTCTTAAATTTTTTACCATCCTGTTTCTTATAAACCAGTTTCTTATGAATAAAAAATGTGTAATCATCTTGTGACAATAACACAACCTGATAGGTTGACCAATTCCTCTCTTTCTGCTCTTTCACAACAATTGTGCTGCAAAATATGCCTCTTTGCTGCTGGGCCTGAAAGTAAATAATTTTTCTACAGAAGAAGATTAAAACCCTTGGTTACTGTTTTTTCTTAAGGTGGCCCCCTTGTATAAACCCTCTTGGACAATCCTCCACCCTGGAAACAAAATTTGCTTATAAGCCCAACTTATGAATAAGTCACTATCTTAGCTTGGCAGTATTTGCCCCTTAAAAAGCCCCACTTGGTGCTTGATTCAGATAAAACAAATTGACTATGATAAACAACATTCAGCAGAGAAAAAATGTCACCGATGAAGAGACTGCCAGAAATAATGAAGAGACTGCCAGATTTCAATATTATTAATTCAATTATCTTTTTTTGCTTTTAGTTATACTTTCGTTTGATTTCTGAGAATATGCAAAATGATAATGTTCAAATAAAATTGCAAATGAAATGAGCTTTTGTGTAAAATATTGTGTTGAAGCTAAAGAATGAGCCATTTTAATGGCAACTTGGAGATGATATTTATAAGCACCACCCTCTGGTATAAGCTCCAACTTGAATGAGTCTTCAGGTGAAAGCTGACTAAATTTATAAGTTTTTGCCTAACCAACCTTTTACAGCTCCCTATTTATAAAATCTATGCAAGTAGTTTATTTACTTCCTTTATGGAATATTTTGAAGAATTTTTTCTTAAATTTCCACTTTCCTGCCATCTTTGTGTATCCATATTGGTTAAGTTTCTCCTTCATAGAGATCTGCATTTGTGAAAATTATGAGGGGCCTATGGGGAGTTGAAGCCACCCCCAACCCCCCCCCCCACCTTAAATTCTTGTTTCTTTTACAACGTTCGCTTTCCAAACCCTTATTTTGTTGTTTCTGTTGTTAATGTTGGAAAATTGTGAGCCTGAACCCCCCTAAAAAAATCTAAATTCCCAGCACTGTAGATTAGTTTACCTTAAGTCACACTCCCTAGAATCTGTTCAAAAAGTCTTATTAAATAATCTGTCACCATACTTAATTTCCAATACCCTGAAGCTCCCAATTTCACAATTATTTCTAAATGCATTTTCATTGGTAAATATAAATTGGAAAGAATATTTTAAGAAAGCCATTTGGAATTATTAGAAACAGTGTGTCATATCATATAAAGGTTCTGAAACTTAACGTTCCGCTATTTTATTCTTCAAAGGCACTTTGTCCCGTCAGACACTTATGCGGTTTATGCTGAGAAAACCAAGGTCCACGCCACGTAACGTGGGGGGGGTGGCAGGCTAACAAAAGCGGAGGCTGAAAGCTTCTTTTACCTTTTATTGTAGCTTTGACATCATTTGCTTCGGGAAAATATGGGGAGGCCATGGCCACACCGCCCCCCCCCCCACCCCCGCTTTCGGTGGCGTGGTACCTGAAACGTTGAGAATCAGTCTGACATGGCCGATGGGATGGTCATTGAAATGCGTTTGGACAACGCCTTTAATCAGTTGTACATTATGCTGAATTTATATTAAACTAATTCATCACGAAGTTTTCAATTTAATCATCATTTATGAAAGCAAATTCTTGATAAGAATCCGGTTTTAAACCAGGTACATCTCATATCAACAGTCTACTTGGTGGCCAGGCAACTGCTGTGTGATATTACTAGTTCAAACGTGATTAGAAATAAATGTTTTTTATAGTTAATTCTTGTTGGAACAAGCCAGTAAAACGTAAACAGATCGGATGTTATGGCTATAAGATTCCCCTTTGTTGGCACAACGAAAAGCAAGTTCATGGCCTCTAAAATCTATGTTTTTATTGCCAATCAGGTTTCATTTGATTGATCACCTGAACGCTAACTTTTCTAATTTTAAGTTGACATAATATTAGCATAAGCTATGGTAAATTTCGTTTGATGACTCCTGTAACGCTGGTTTTAAAGTTAATGTATTCAATTATTATTCGTTAGGGAAATAATACCTATCTGCCTCTTTGATGAAACCTTTTGTCGAATAATACTACGAATAAGACAACGGTAGCTTTTGCAGATCTAGCGTTATTTGTTTTTAATTTGGGTTGCTTTAAAAACTGTGTTTTCTTATCAGTGGCTCTCATAGCCTGGTTTACAATTGTCTAAACTTTCGTAAGAATTAGTGAAGGCGGCTCTCCTTCTTCCTACGTTTCTTATTACAAGTGTTTTCGTAAGCCATCCCCGATATCGCCGACCTCCCCGCCAACGAATTGAGTTCTCTTTGAAATAATCGAGTCAGCGACGTCCTCGATTCTTACGCGAACTACCAAAGGTGTGAACAGGCTCAGGTTTATCGAGTATGGAGGTACTTGTGCCTTTTTGATTTTTTTGTTGGCAAGATTTTTGATGAATATAGTGCTGGATGAACCTGGTTGCTGCAAATGACGTTCGTTATTTATCAGTTAGAAGTTACTTACTAACTGACAAGAACTGCAAAGGCTTGAGGAAATGCTATTATTGGGGTTCTTGGAGCTTATGTATATGCGACATTGTTTAGAATTAGTGAAGTGTCCTGTGTTACGAAAAGGCTATCGTATGCGTAAATGTCTGTATGTGAGGAATGGGACACAGCTTGTCATAAAGATTTGTTCTTCTCCAACAGGAGAATCTAGTAATATATTTCCAATGTTCCTATCTTTTCCATTCTCGCCTTCCAAGTAAATGATTTCATGATATGACCCATGATTTAAAGGCGAGTTGTTCACTACAACCTCTGTAGTTGACTTAGATCCTACTCACGACAACTCACGAAGCGACTTTGCACGAGTAAGCTGTGAGGAGCCAATCAGATCAGGAGACCGCACAGCGCCCACGCTAGTGAACAAAAAATGTAGTCGAGGTCGACCTCTTATCTGTAGATGTGCTATGTCGTAGATTCAAAATCTTTGTCAAGATATGTATAAATAATTCTCCACAGATTAGAAAAATGCCAGTTTTGAGTGGCATTGATGTGAAAACTTTACTGATCACAAAATTGTTACCTGCTGATTGCTAGTCTGTGGGTAGCCTAGTTTTTAGGAATTTTCAATATGCTATTGCATGCATTTAAAACAACACAGCATTTGTGGCTCTGTTTATGTTATACGAAACGACTTACAGGTCTTTGGTTTCTCAGCATATTCTTTTCAAACTGGTTCCATGTGCCAAATACCTAGAAATTAATAATTAACTAACTTCTTCCAATCAATTTGTCAACCATTTTTCATTTGCAATGGCATTAGACGTTAGACGCTCAGCTGTGAGTTCTCAAAACGATTATGATTTCTTTGCAATAAACTCACAAAATTCGTGAGATTGTTGGTACTTTCTGTTCCCCCCTGTCTCATTTGTTCAAATTTGTAAAGCTACTGGAGAATCCCCTGCCATGCTTAATGAATGGCTTGCTGCGAGCTTTTAGGTCATGCCCTTCGTCGTTTGTTTTTACTGCATTATTTTTTGACGTCTTCAAACATTATAAGTGTTTTTGTTCAATCTTCTGTGTTCAAAGTCCATTTCAGACCACCTGTTTTACTTCAATTTCCATTTTGACAACCGTCTTTTTATTATGCTCCCCGTTCATCGTTCGAGGCCTATGCACTGTTTTACTTTGCAGGCTTTTCTGTCATGTTTCGTATTACTGGGTTTTAAAGTCATCTTTTGCATAGTTTTTCAGTTGCAAACTCTTGCATTGGCCATTTGAATGGAATAAGGAAAGACAGAAATGATCGGTTTGGTTACACTGTGAGGTAAATCTGACGTCATAGATACACTTCGCATATACTACGACGATTCACAAGATAGATATAGCAAGTAATGGCAATTGCAGTTCTGTTGTAGTTTAGTATATGTTTAAGCATTTCAGAATGTAGATACCACGCTTGCAGTTTATTCCAAAGCTGGATATGGTCAACAAAATATTTCTTTCAGCTGCGACCAATCAAATCAAATTGAAAGGCAAAGAATCGTAGTGTTTCTTTCAATTATTTTCAAATTAAAAATGTTTTTAAAGGTTAAGAGACTGTAGTTGTTTTCCAAAGTTTCTTAAATAACTTCACAAGCATGATAATTTTCACCAAATCGTCTTTGCTCAGTTTTTCCCGGAAAGGTATAACTTTTCAGCCTTGTAACTTAATGAATAAATGGGATCTTACAACAATATCGATTTTTCGTTATAAACGCAGCAGATTTTTTTCATTCAATAAATAAATACCAAATGCTATAAAAGCTACTTTTTAGAAACACAAAGACTATCAAACAGAATATCTAATAAGTCAAAAGGACCTCCTCTTTCCATTTATCTATTTCAAGTGAACGGACAATGGATGCCTAATCATCGAAAAGACTCATTTTCATGAAAGAATTTTCGAGCTGTTTTATAAGGTTGATGGTGATCAGTAATATTGTCTCTAAATGTTTTTTGTAAGTTACGGCTCGTTTTCATATAGCAGGTTTATTATTAAAAGATGAGTGTACTAATGGAAATATTATTACGCACTGCACAACCTTGATGCTTCCCTTTTTCAGTCAAAACCTTGTGTTTGGTGTTAATCTTGTGCAATGTTTTCTGATAAGCAGTTTGCAGTTCACTGTCAATAGTACCTGTTATTTGTAATCTTGCTCTCTAATGCCCTGGCTAAATAGCCTGTTTATATCAGCTAGACATCAATGTCCAATTCTGCAGCTAAAACTGGTTGGTCAGTTTCCTTTTGACATCCTCCTTGCCTTGATCCTCGTGCACAGTTCATAAGTTTAAAGATGAGTTTTCTAGCGACGTGTGTTCATTTTTCGCGTCTAAAGGAGATCAACGAGTGCTTTAACGTCCCACAGACAACGCAAAACATCGCCTGATGAACCAAATCGACGAGTTTTTATTAAATTCTTGTAAATCCTGCAGGTGAAATAGCTGCTGTTGAATCGTGAATTCGACCGTGGCTTCAAATCGCATTAAGTTGCGTTCTGTGCAATGTTTGAAGTCTTCCAAGGTGAAGTTTGAATCGTACGGAACAACTACGTCTTGCAGCTGCTATGCGCCCACTCTAAAAGGCAGGCCACTGGCTGGTCATTCATTTAATAAAGTTTTGCAGCAGAGACATACATTGCTCATTGGTTGCTGATAGTCAGTGAATCAGCGTAGCCGGGATATCGCGAAATGCTGTACTATATTGTGGCATAAAAATTGTTTAAACTCAATGTATAATGGTGCTTCAACGAGGACTTGGTACGGCCGTGGAATGAATGTATCGTCGAGAAAATTCACTGAAAAATGGGCAAGGGAAGACGAAGACACAAGGTAGCTAGTTCAATGCAAAGTGTTTTTGTCTGGAACACTATGACCGTAATTACTGTGATTTTCAGAATTTAAAACTGTTTGATTCTTTCAAAGTACTGTTTCGTTTAGCTTTTTATCAGCGAAATTTCTACATATGTCCATCGATGAAATCCGACGAATTTCGATGGTGTTATGATTTTCTGGCAACTTCCTTCCAGGAAGCAAGGTCTCCGTTTCACCTTGAATTTGTGTTTTTTTAATTCGATTATGCAGTTATAAATTAGTAACGAATTTATGCTATGTAACGCCTGGTAGAATTCCTGTCAAAAGTTGTCCGTGTGAGCCTAAATGTTGATATTCCTTTGTATTGTGACATTGTTTCAAATCTAAAGTCATTTCTATATAAATATGCATTCATGTAAAGTGCATTTCGCAATTGTTCTGAATTGCTTTATCAAACATTTTGATCATACTTTTTGGCGTTGATTTCTGGGAGACTTCTCGTGTTGCAACAATGAAGTTGGCCGCAATCACATTTGATTCTTTTGCCACTTATTCCTTATATTTCTCGTTATTTAAAATGACCAAATCCATCATTATAATTACTTTGGGAAAACCTTTTCATATCATCGTGTTGTCAGTCTTATCGTATATTTATGTAATTTACGTTAATAGAACAAAATTCGTCTTTTGTTTAACTTACATCATCATTATCGCCACTTATGACGTAATCTTCCAGACATCCCCGTCAATGCACAATGCATTTGTTTTTTGAATTTTAACGTTGATTTCAGTGGAGACCTAAACATGGCTTGGTGTAATATTAAATCCGATTTGTAACATGGCCGTTACAACATAATTCAGTTGGCTTAGTTTTATTTTCTCGTTTGTGGCTATTATGTCAAATACCAAACTATATCAAACGATCAAACATGAGAAACATTTAAGAAGTTAAGTTAAAATCTTTGACAGTAATCCATTAATTTTTATAAGTTTGAAGTCTGGTGAATATTTATTCTTTCGAATTTGGTAGTCTCATAAGCCAGTGAGATTTCATTGCGCCTCAGGGAGAAAAACCAAGGCTGCTCTTCCATTAAGTTTTAATCAAACTTCTAATGTGAATCATTGTCCACTGTTTTTGTATAAGAAAAATAAACCTCATTTTTCCAAATTCCTGTTTATTTAATTGATTATTCAATGTTGGTCATAACTTTTGTCGTTGGCCATATTTTGACAGTTCATGCAGCTAGCCTCGGTCTGATTTCCTTTATTGTTTTGCAGAGTTTGCACGTTAAGAATCGTTCGAATGGAGGTTTCAAGAGCCCTGGAGCAAGACCTGACAGAACTAGTGATAAGTGTATCTATGCGAGTAAGCATCGCTGTTTCTTATCATTCTTTTCTCAGCATGTTTTAATGTTTTCTAAAAGCGGTTTATGTGAACCACAAAGTGCATCAGCTGTGAATATTAAACCACCTTGTTTTCAATTAAAGAGAATTTTAATTTCAGCACCTGTTGCCAGAGATGTTTAACAGATAGCAAGCTTTGTATAATTCTTTCTTTTTAACAGATGTTAACAGCCCTTGGAAGGAAATACTTTTTCGGATGCTGAAACATATTATCTCAGTTGCAATACACGCTTTTTTACAAGAATCAAATTTATAAGAAACCATTTTATAAAGAACGATTTTATAAGGAACCTACATTTAGAAGAGCGAAACGTTTAATGGTCATATACTACTAAAAACAACATCCCTAAGGCACTTCATTGATTTCCATTCATTTGCAGTCAACGCTCAGGTATGCCTGTGTCGAATGTTTCGTTGAGTAGGCTTTGCTATCTCCGTCTAAAATAATCACTGCTCCTCTGTCTTTTCAGTGCAACGTTTCGTTTTAGTTTACACACCCAAAGTGTGTTGAGAGAATATTTTTACTTTGACATCTATAAATCTTCTTTCTTGCCTTTTTTTGTTTTAGGCCTTATTTTCTAGCTAAAATGATAAGCAAAATTCAGAATTTCGATGTTTTTCGTGCGTCTGTCTTATTTCCATGCCACTAAATGTGCAGTTGAAGAAAAGAAGCTATTAAGCAACTTTAGGTACTACAACTTGATCAATAGAAATCCAGAAACAAAGAAATTTAGGAACTAGGCCCTGTGCTAGGTTCTTTGAAAAAGTCGTGTATTCTTTAACACTGAGATTTTTAACTCTCCACCAAAAAGAATATGGTATAACGTTGCTGATTGCTTTGAATTTTCCCGCGTTTTGCCCCCGTTTACTTTGTTATCCCCAACCAACGTTCATTTATCAAAGTTACTTGAATCAAAAATTGAAGATGTTTCTAGTCTCTGAGGTACGCCGATGTCCCTACGTCCCATTAGGCAGACGTCTCCCAAAGTATACCGGATCGAGTTTATTTTACTTCACAATAAACAATTTATCTGCAATGATCCGTATTGGCATCCCCAATTTGAACCATATTGTTTGTTTTTTTGCAACCTCTTCGCCAGGTAGATTTTGGTTTGTCTTTGAAAGTGTTCCTAGACGCGACGCAGTAAGACGCTTACTAAAACTCTACAATTTCATACGCCTGTCACTTCAACTCTGAGCAAAATTAACTCTGTCTAGACCACAGTCTTAAAACCTATTGTCTTTAAAATAGTCGTTTTCAAGAACTTTCTCTCCCGCGCACGTACTTTTTAATATAATGCAGTTCACTAGTGGTTGTAAAGGTTCACAAATATAAGTTTTATCTTAAGCCAAGACACTCCAGATTGTTCATAGACATCTTTTTGGTCACTAATTTTGAAGTGTCTAGAATGAGAGAATTTTAGAGAAACAGACAAACTTAGACCCAAAGACAAGACAGTAATTTGACAATAAGTTTGCAAATCCCTAATTTTTTTATTGAGAAGGGAATTTGTCTCTCAGACAGAAAGTAAAGAGCAAATGTGTTACGGGATTCAAATGCACGCGACAGTCGTGGAGCTTTTGGGGTCAACTGGTTTTCAAATTTCTTGCTCTTTGAGACAATCTTTATCCTCAGAATATTCTGACAAATCATGACGAAAAACATGATCCTAGTTACAGCTGCTATAATCATTTCAAAAAATATGTTTTCTTGACTAAAGAATTAAAGACTGTATTTCATAGTCTCTGCGATAAACGTATCTATGTTAATTTTGCCCAAGGTTGGAAATTGGTGCCTTGTTTTTCGACCATACTGCATTGATAGTATCAATGGGAGTCATATTGCTTCAGAATACCTGTTTAATTGCACATAAGTCATGTCTAGTTAAATTTGAACCCCAAAAAGTACTCAAAGATCGCAGTGATGTATCTCTGCGGTGACTTGTCATATTACCATTTACATATTTCTTTTAATTTCATGATTGAAGGGAAATTGCTTTGGCCATGCCCTCTAGATTTGCTTACAAGGATACCACACTTTTCTAAGATATTCTTTAATAAAACTAACTTGATCCAAAAAGTGCTAAATTAACAAAGGAAACATGACGCTGAACAAATGTCAAGCTGAAAAACGTTTTTTTCTGGGAAATCACAATACAAAAATGAACTCTTATCAACAAATCAAGTTTTTTTGGTAGCCTTAAGTATTGATCGCGTAGAAGTAGTAGGGAGGTGGGAACCTATGTGAAAATAACAAATTGTAGGGATAACAGCCAATTTGAAGTAATTTGCCTTTTATTCTTACAGCTAAAAAGAGCTTTTGTAGATCTTTTTTCTTATTTCCCATCAATTTTACTTTTCCTAGACCACTATTTCAAATTGCAAAACCACTATTAGTGGGAAAACATGCTTAGATTAGGCACTGTTATAATGTAACTTTTAAAGTGAATTTTCCAGCTCCGTCATACAATCGTATACTCAAATGATTAAGAGCATATTCTAACGGAAATCAGCTTAACAGATTTACTGATACGACGAATAAAAGACCTAAGCATGTTTTGTAAAGTCAGCTTTCACAAGCCGCTGTGACCCACCTTTGCTGATGAATGATGAGTCATAACTCCTAAGCCTGAAGACAAGGGACACTGTGTGAATTATTGTATTAGACATGACGTTATATCATCTATTGTAGATAACATGATGAGTAATAAGTATAATCTTTAAAATCCTATATTCGTGTTTCAACCCGATTTTTTTTCGTATGACGACAGTATTAATTCGCAGTCAGATATGTCAACCAGCCATTGCTACTGAGAACCTGTGCTTTCACATTTCAAATATGACATTTTCTTTTTTTTCTGTTTAATCTATTTTTTCCCTGAAATTTCAAAAAACTTTTTAAAATGTTTCTCTTGCTCAGCTACAGTGGTATATAGTCAGCGTACCTGTTTGACCTTATTTTTAAAGACACCATATCTCGTCAGTTAACCATTCAGAGTTAGCCTCTACTGCCTATGTTGCCCATTAGATTTCGTAACAATAGGTCTATTGTATAGTCCAACCAATGGCAAATTTAAATGGCCATCGAAATGCGTCGGGACTTGGTGCCTTTAAATTCAATTGGCTTCCAAAATCTATTCGCTTAGCAGAGAGCTGAGACAAAACCATCATATAAATTTCTAAGCAAAGGGCTAATGTACTGACTAAATAGAAATTTTGTATTTGAAAAGAAAAAATTGCTGAGCACCAACATCGTACTCGTCAACTTTGTTTACAAAGCATCCTTTAAACCCCTGAGTTGACAACTGACCTGAGAACAACGGTATTATTATTGATGAACGTTTGCGTTTATAATTAGTTAGCTGTTTATAGATCAAAGTAGGTGATACGGCCTTTACTAACACATATAAAAGCAATATCCTTTAGCAAGTATGAATGGGCGGGAGAAATCCAGAAATCTTTGGCCTCTGCTTAAATTTCTATCATATTTACGTTTACTTTTAAAAAAGAATTGATTTTTCTATCTCGCAGGGTTCCCGCAGAAGTCTGCGCTCCGATTGTATACCATTGCAACAAAGTGGCCCAATTGATGTCGAATTGGATTTTGCATTTTCTTTGCAAGTATGTCAACCACATTAGATAACCAATAATATTTTTTCACAAAATAACGAATTTGCCCTCGTCCATGCTATCCCACGAAATCGCATTAATATGGCTGCTTTTAGAACAGACTAAGATTTATGGTCTTTTGTGGCAGACATTCGATTTTTCTCTACAACCTTGAAATACGGTCATCGAAAATTCCCTTTCGAGGTCTAAGTCTGCTAAACGAATAACGTGAAAACATTAAAGGAGTTTTGGAAACTCGCATTTTTTCTACTGTTAACAAGTAAAGGTGAAACTCCCCCAAAACGACCCAGTAACGTGCTCTCAAAAGAGCCCGAGAAAAGCCAACAAAAAAACTGACCAAACAACTCTTTGACATTGTTGATTATTGAATTTTAAAGTGGCAGAGAGCGGATAAAAATTTGAAATTTGTACGTCAACAGCGTTCAGTCCCGTATTGCACTCATGCGCAAGTTTCTCAGCTCATTTCTCGTTGGTATAACTAGCTTTCGTACATACTTTATAAGCGGCTGAGGCTTGTTACCACAACAACGGCAGTTCACATTCACAGTTAAAAGTTTGCTTTCTCTGAACATTTCAGCCTGTTTTATAAACATAAAAGTAAGTCAAGTATGCAGGTATAAAAGTACTCATGCTATGTCCAATTCTTGAAGTACCAAAGGTTTTATATCTTTGAAAAACATTCAACACCTCTGGGAAACTATTTTCAGCTCGATTTTCCGCCCTAGTTTTCGCCCTAGTTTTCGCTTTAGTTTTCGCTTTAGTTTTCGCTTTAGTTTTCGCTTTAGTTTTCGCTTTAGTTTTCGCTTTAGTTTTTCCCCAGTTTGTTTCATGCAGTGAATTGATTTTTTGGCCACATAGTTGGGTTTCACTTAATAAAAAATTTATTTTCTAAGGCGGGTTTTTGGTCGTTAAAACATTTCTGTTCGCATACTTAAGTCGTCTTTAGTTTCCATTTTTCAATCTTATTGTAGTTAGATTTTTTTGCAGTTTTATACTCAGATTAGCCTTTTTTTCGTTTGATTTTTTCCCAGATAGTGCCAGTTTTATTTACGACCCTGGCTATGCCTTTACCTGTTTTCTAGATCAGACTTTGTGGATTCTAGCAAATGATCCAGTAAATAAATTCAGCGGTTATATGTAATTCACCCCCTCATCAATTCACCCCCTCATCAATTCACCCCCCTCATCTGGGTACGTTCTCCTCTGAAATGCCGAGGATGTCATGAATATAACCAAGATTCTTTTATGCATTTCTTTTTACCAGTATCCTCATTTCCTGAAACGTCGTGGAAATCTCCTTCGAGTTATGTTACAACGAAAGAAAAAGTACAAAGGGAGAACAATGCTTGGTTACAAAACACTTGCAGTCGGTCAAGTTGACATGGCACAGGTATCTTGAGACAAAATCATGAATCTCACTTAAAATGTTTTCCGAAGATTCTCGTTTCACTTTCTTCATCGTATTGTTTTTATGTTGTATCAACTAAATCCTTTGATTGTACTCTCTTTGTAACCCTTGCTCTCCCTATTCTTTCTACCCGGTGAAATGTTAAGCTCGCAATATTTTAATATTATTTATCCCCTCGTGTACAAAGTGATTCTTTGAAAATTTTAATTGCTAACAGTCTTAAAAGTTTCAATACAGTTTGAGTATGAAAGCCGAGATTTTGCCTCTACCAGCGAATCTTATAATTAGGCATTCTTTTAATCCTTTTGCTTACTATGTTTTAAAACCTTAGGTTCTCCAAGGCTATGCTCCAAATAATCTGCAGCTGTATATAAAAGAAGAAAAAGCTCCGGTTGCAACTTTAACACTAGCATCCTTGAGCAGGTATGATTCTTTTGGCTGTTAGCCATGGTGTGGTGCTACAAGAGAGCGTTAATATTATCATAAGGGCGCAGTCTTTCCATTTCCGCTGAGCCTTGCTCTGCACTACTAATCTAGTCAAAACTTTGTCTCATCAAGTTGACAACTAATGAGTTCCCAATACATTGTCTCCATCAAGACCATGTGAAATTTGAAACCTGGGAAAAGTCCCCGGTGTAAATTTACCCCTAATCGTGTTTAGCATAATTCAGTCAAGATATTGGAAATCCATTGTAACATATTTGGTACTGTGAATTCTTTATCAAGGAATCTTTGCTTTAAATCTTGTACAGTTTTAGTGTTCTTAAAACTTAATATTATGTCTTGAATTTCCGGTGTTTTCTTTCAGTCAATCGGTTGATCAAGAAGTTTCGGGCAGAAGAGAATCAGGTAATGCTTCGGCTTATTCCCTCTGTAATTGGTCTAAATGAAATTTACTAATTCACAAACCATAATTTCCAAGCCCATTGTTTTTTCATTGTAGCAGTTGACGTTATGATTATATGCCTGGTGTCTCTCTAGAGAAAAACTGAATTATTGAAGAATCTTAGCTCGTTACTTTGTATTGTTCATTTTGACATTTTAATGAGATTTGCGAGCCTCAAAACAGATGTAAAGGGCACAAAACTTTGAATGTTAAGCTTCTTAGTTATATTTATTCGTCTTTCTTAAATTAAATGGTACGATGGTATAGATAATCTTTTTGTGCTAAAATTCTTTCTTGACGGTTTGAATTTTATAGGTCACGAAAATCTAAGCTCCACCGACGAAGACGCTGATGACGATCTTTCTGGAAGCGAGGCTGAATTCAGCGCAGGCGAAATGGAGGAGGCAAGGGTAACTGTTCTTGAACAAACTATTCTTCGTATGTCGTGTCCTTTCAGATATATTTTCAATAGCTTACAACCTATTCATATCGCGTGCCTATGATCTTTTCTTTAAAAAACATGCGGTAGATGCTATTTACGAATTTCAATTTTGTAATTTTTTGTTTTTCTCCCTTTCAAGGTGTTCGACCCGCGGGATCCCCGGGATATGATTCGAAGAAAGGTATGCAAAATTATAATTTTAAAGATGTTATATTTTTGCGGGTTGAACAATTTCCTTCGTTAAGTATTAGAAATCTCTGTGCATTTGATGATAACACGAGCCTGAAATTTTATGAATTCATTTTACTCTTTTTGTGAAGTAAAATGATTTACTGATTATTATTTTATCATATATGGCTGAAAATATTTTTGCACCGATTTGACCGTTTACTGAAAAGTTCCAGTCAAATCTAGCATTTGATATCCGTCCTGCTTTTTCGGTTTGTGAAGAGAGATTGATTTTGATTTTGTTTTCGATCATATCTTATGAACTATGTTTAAAGAATCGAAGTCAGATATTTAAGATGATAAGATGATTAAAAGATGATAGTTGAGTTAGCAGACTGTCTCTCAATTCTATCGATACTGCTGTAGAAATATCTTTTAAACTAATAACATTTTAAACTACATCCATATGTAAATATGTAAATGAGTTGCGATTTATAATGATAACAACCTACCTTTTCTAACTTTAGGCTTCCAGGACGTTTAAAAAGAAATTCATGGATGCAATTTTCAGGAGGCTAAAAGCGAACCAAGAGGTAATTTTTTTATTTTCTATGTTAATCAATCAATGATATTAAAACAGTAGATTTTACCTTTACCTTACAGTAAGTTGATCATTTTAATGCATCATGGCGTTTCACCTTCATCGAAATTGTCACCTAATTCAGGATTCCTAAATATTCTTTAAAACATTCATACATCTGAAAATGCTCAAAGCAAAAAATATTTCTGCGAACTTTCTTGAAATTCATATTTTCAAACAATTAGTAGGTTAAATCCACTGATTTGTTTGTAGGGCCACTATTTTTTGCCGGAACGGTGTACACACTTTTGTGATAAAAATGCTTTAGTTTTCGCTGAGTCTCGATAATTTTTCATTTTTGAGCCTAATATCATTTTTGAATATTCTAAATTTGGAAAGGATATAGAGAGAAAGTTCGAGTCTTTCTTACTGTCTTTCTAACAATTGAGCAAAAACAAGACGAGAACAGAACAATAAAAGTGGCTTTGATGTAGCTAAGTAGGAACATTTTTAAAACGTAAAACTATATATATTTCCTAGCCGATTGCAATATAAAATAACTTGAACATTTTCAATCTCATCAACACCGATTTTATCCCCACTTTCATCCGTATATCCAATTTTATATTTAGCCAAAGTTTCTATATAAAGGTATAAAATTCTATATTAAGTTATAACAATTTTCCAGAAAAATTCAGCCACTTTCGACAAGCTCTCGTTTGCTTTCCACCCAATTCATCATTAACAAAAAAATCTTCAGCCTGGCAATTATTTTTAACTGATCGCCCAATATGCTTATCGTGGCTATTGTAACTTTATTGCTAATAGGCCTACGGTGATGACATCACTGATGAGCTGTATGCTGACCCGATCGAACCGATTGAGGATGACAATCAGATTGATTTTCTTTACGACGAAGATGAAGACAGCGACGCTGATGAAATGTTGGGTGATTCCTTCAGTATTGGATCAAACCAACGCCCTAAATTAAGGCTAGTATGAAATTTGGCTTTTGCAGTTTACTTTCTTTTCATCATCTGTCCGGCTAAAATCAAGTATCATTTAGGCCGATTAGAGAGTTAAATATCTTTCATAATAGTCAAGATTTCATCAAAATACATATGCTTACAAAGATCATGTGCTTCCTATCTTCCTTCTATTGAAAAAATGTTATAAGATAGAAGGAAGTTTTTGTTTAGGCGTTCAACTTCTATCGGGCTAAAAACCTAAAACGGTTAAAGCTTTCCATAAAAGCAATGAAAGCAGGGCGTTGTCCTGATGTCGCCTTTGTCTTGGTTTTATTTACCTTTCTCGCGGTCGCTGGCTCAAGGCTGGGCTCTGCCTTAATGTTAAGAAAGTAAAAGTCAAAACAACTCTGGATGAATGGACTTTTCTTTAGTGTTATTCAGCATCTTAATATTCTGCCAGTGGGAAGATCCTCTGAGATGAAGTAGAAAAAAGAATCGCATTATACAAAGTATGCATCGCTAGGAGAAGGTGCAAAGGGTCCAGGAAAAATATGAAAGATAGTAACAGGGAAGCAAAATGCAGTTAGCAATTTTGTGTGAAGTTTAATGAAGTTTAATTCTATGAAACTCTGAAATGAGAAAATTGTACTCAACTATAGCATGGGCGTTGCTCTGTTAATGATGAAACTTTCCAAATCATCACATATAGTTGTTGAAATTTTGTATGATTACAGTGCATGTATTGTTTCTAAGATAACATTTTTCTCTACAGACCGTATTTTGATCAGATTAGCAGAAACGAAAGCAGTCAAACGCTGACACATGAAAAAGCCGATGACGTAAGTGGTTGCTTGTTTTGCTTCTGCTTCTGTTTTGAAATTCTGTTTCTGGAACCGGCAATTGCCTAACTGAATATTTTGAGAAGATGTTTATGTCTCCTTGAGAACAGAAGTATTTTCCTGCCAATTTTAAACATAAATCAGAAAAGAAACTTTGATGATGTTTCACAAAGTTTTCCGGTTCAAAGATGTCGGCGTTCTACAATGTTGCCCTTTCTGTTTATATTTGTTCGGCAATTTAGCTATCGACATTTTGTCAGTATGTCAAAATCATAAGTAAGTCAAATTTTTACACAAATGAAAGTTATTTGAGCTGTACAAGAATTTACAGTGAGTTAAATGACAAACAAATGAACTCTAATATTGGCGTTGACACTGAATATTTCTTTACATGAATATTTGCGCTCTGATTTTGGCATCGTCAATGTTTCTCGTGCCTTTAGGCATCTCTTAATCCTTTTGTAGTTTTGATGCGTTTAGGTACTATTAGTGCATCGGCCTATACTCGATGGGAACTAGCCTCACGACTAATTCAGTGATGCCTATGGCATATTATCTTTCGCGAGTTAGAAATTTGATTTAAATTTATATCTTTTTTAACTGGTATTAGGTAGGAAAAATGCTATACTGATGTCATTTGGTACAGGATTTTGACATAACGATTAAAATTTTTGTTTTAAAATATTTGTACACATTACAACCATAACAACGTTTAATTTCTGCCTGCTTTCTCTTCGGCATCAAACAGAAGTATCTTCGGTATGATTTTGATTCTTCTTAAATTATTGTAGGTTTCAAAAATGATATTATTTCAAGTATCATAGTTTTTTTGTCGTGACAAAGCAATATGGTTGATGCATCTGTTTTACAGAAAGCATCGCCAAGAAGCGGACGAGAAATGGAAAGTGGTGATGATAGTAAAGAGCTTAGTCCAAGCAGTGATTCAGATCAACAGAAGGTATATTTTTGGAGTTTAGCTAGGCCTTGAGGCACTTGATAAACATGAGGGCATCACACCCATTACATTAACGCATGCATGAAGAATCACTTTCAATTTGCTTCAAAGTTAATATTAAACTTCATTAGCATTTTTTAGAGATTGCTGTAACTTTTTAGGACGTCCAACCAAAGGCCAGAAACGACCTACTGGTCACCCAGCAGCCCTTGTTGCAACCAGGCAGTGAACGGACGTCACCGTTTAGAAGCGTTGCCAATCGAAGTTTGTCATTCAAAGAAAGGCGCGAACCAACAGAATCGACAGATCGCCAGCAGCTCAAAAGAAAGTCAAGCCTTGATTTTGATGCTCTTTCCCAGTTCTCTGTACAGCCGCTAAGTGATCAAATGCTAGCAGCTTTAAGCGCAGATGACAACATACCTGAAAAAGTTTTCTTAATATCGATTAAAGACTCAATCGGGCAGGTAAGATTCTCATTTTTTCATTTTGTCTCAAATTCTTACTACAAGGTAGTCCTACAAGCCAAGAACGTCTGCTTTTCAGAGGGCCGTTTTAAAACCTAATTACAATGATTAAAACCTAAACAGTAATGAAAAGGGGAAAGTTTACAACATTAAATTAGATAAAACTAAAAACTACTCGCTATCTAGTTTTCATTAAAAAGCAAGCAGAGATGGGGCTAGCGTGACATCAGCGTGACTAATTTATTCCAAATTTTTGGTTGGCGAAATGAAAATGCTTATTGATCATCACTGCTTTTCATAAGTGGAAGGAACAAGTCAGTTTTAGAATTTCTCTAACATGATATTCCGCGGGTTGATATTCTCGTGTATGGAGTCGAAAGTAAATTGGCGTGAGATCACTTATTGTAGCATATTTTAAAGTTTCTTTCCGATTCTATTAAGCTAAAGCATCGTTACTCTAAAAATTTTGTCTATCGATTTTCATTATCAACTGATAAAAACAGTATTGCGTGGTCCTAAAAAATATTTTTACCTTGACTAGAATTATGGAAAATGTTCAAAAAGTAAAAGATCCCGACTTTTCTCTAAAATAGGGTCTTTGAGACTGTTCAACTAAATGAGAGGTTTGCGGCTATTGATTGATGAAAAACTGGAAACTTTACTTTGGAACCGCAGCTGGATATAAATTTTCTATTTCCTTTGGTCATTTTCTGACATTTGTTCTCCGATGAGTGTCGGGTGTTAAGTATTTAGTATGCTATGTTTCTTTTATTCCTTGCTATCTTGAGACTTTGAGGTAACAAAGAGTTGAAAGGTCATTATAGCACGACGTGCCTATCAGTTAATAACATGCTAAAGGCTTTGAATCCTATTTTATATCTTACTCGTTAACCAGAATTGTCAACTTGCAAGTAACGGAAAATGCTAATTACATAGTTTCTTTATTGTAATTTTTTGAAAAAATATCAAGTAAGAGGAATATGAAACATATTCGTTGTATTTTTCAGTATTTATATTTGCATTCGTTTCAGATCTTGGCCATGAAGTTAATGAATCGTATAGAGAGGCTCATCTGTACAACGAACGACAACGAAGTCAGCTCTGTCATAGCTACTGTTGCTAGCAAGTTACAGAAATAGTAAGTTGTTGATTGTTTTTCTTTCCTAACCATGATGTTTCTTGTCCATAATACTCAATAACAACAGTATTTTATCTGTTAGACAGAATTTCAAAACCCCCGTTGATTATTTGTGATGATAACTAGTATATAATTCTTTATCAAATTCCATAGTAAATGCTATTTCGAATGCGCGACAGACACAGCTACACTGGTAACCTCTTGTTATTTTACAGCTGCAATAAGCACTCAGCATCGCCTCCACCAATGAAAATCTGTGTAATTGGGCCAGAATGCTACGTTAGTGCTGTACTTAGATCATATGTCGATAGCTTTTCTCTGAAGTCTCCTGAATTCCAAGGATATGTGCGATTTCTTATCGTTCCTCTAGGTAAGAACTTGCTTAAACCTTTTTTACATTGTTATTTGTTCAAATTAGTGTTTTATTGGCCTCTCATATAGTGTTTAATGCTATATGGGCAGATCTGAACAGGTTTTTGTGTATAAATAAATGCATATGGATGTATACTCTAATTTCTTCATATCAATTTGTATGCAATTAGAAATGCTACTTTCAGTATAGTTCAAAAGACCTTCAGAGTATACAACAAAGTCTATAATATGCTACATTATTTGTCTCCCACCCTTCACAGTAAAATTATAGGCATGTGTATTGCTGTTTTTATGCGGCATCTGTTTTCGCTTTGCTGTTAGGATATCATCGCCTTGCCAAGTATCTGGCGAGTAAAGATTCGTGTTATCACTCAGTGTTTATGGACCAATTCTGGAGAAATTACAGCGAGCAGCCCTCTAAAAGAGATGAAGGTAATCTTGAATGTATATAATAACCACACAGGTGTAGCAGCATCACTTGGCTTCGTGTTGCACAATCCAAAATACTCTTTCTCGTCAGACATCATCCTGAATTTGTAGTATAATCTGCGAAATCCTGAATTTGTAGTATCATCTGCAAAATCCCGTAGTTTTAAAGCCCTTTTAGGTCGTTTTTTATTAATACAGCCACATTTTTAACTAGTACTTTCTTTTGTTGTTGAAGTAGCTGGCCATTGGAGTACCACTCTCTTTATAACCTCCCTTTTTGTTATGTTCTTTAAGCCTTCTTTTTTCGCAACATCTTATGAATCTCTTTCCGTTTTGCTATTTTAAGGTTTCATTTGTTTTCTAGACTATGATGAGGTTGAACGGCGAATTCAGTATTACACAAAGTCGGCATCCAGCTTGCTAACACTTCCTGTTGCTGAAGCTCTTATTACACACAAAGCTGGAAAAACGTAATGACTTTAACTCTAACTTTTCACTCTAACTTTCTACTTTCTTCTCCTCTGTTTCGAGAACTTTTAGAGCTCTGCGCCATTTGCGTTAAATTTCAAGCAAGGAAGTAAGTATAAAAAAGTCTGAAAATATATTTTTGCTACTTGTGTAGCTTGAACTTTGCCATTTGTATTATTTATCATTTATCTTATCTTTCTAACAAACTTAAAACTTTCCATTTTCGTTATTTCAGAAGCGAAGGGGAATCTTCACAAGCCTGTGTGCCATTTGTCATGGTAAGAAAATGATATCACACCTTTATATATCTATGCATAAAGGTTTCGTCATTAAGTCACTTAAATGAGTTAATAAAGGAGTGGATCCTAAAAACGTTAAAGTATTTCTTACTCCGTTAGTTGTGATTTATTTTGATGTTGTTTGTTTTCCTGAACTTTGAAACCCTTAAGTATTTTAAGTAATGTAGTTCTAATTTGATTCAACAGGAAGTCAGAGTCAATAGGCCAGCTACAGAAACAGGTTTGAGGCCCTTCTTTCTTTCCATAATCACTTTCCGTCAGTACAAAGATGCCACGATGAAGAATCTACTGAATCCTATTCTGTTTAATGCAAACCTAACCATAAACAATATAAATCACTAATTTACTAACTTAATAATTTTCTATCATGTCACTCTTTTCCAGCAGATTCTTGTTTTTGAATTCGTTTTTGCTATGATTAATTTCTGTTGTTTTGGCAAATTTGGAGGCCTTTTATGGCAAAATTGAGGCATAGTTTGTTTTGGCTGAGGACTTACTTGTGTTCTTGTTACGTAATTGCAGAATACGAAGAACCAACAACAACGCAATCCTTACCACGTGATATACCAGCGCCTGGACCTACTAACAGCAATGCATCGTCCAATCTTTCGTCAAGTCCAAACAGGTTTGAGTCACATTTCATGCTGATGTTTAATATTTTCTTAAAAACACTTACGCAACCGGCACGCTTCGCGACAATAATTCCAAAACCGGCCTAATATCGTACTGCATGATAATAAAAGCAAGCATGCCAGTTGCGCATAAGTCTTTAAGCAATAAGGTAAAAATTATTAATTGAGGTCATGGACTGTGCTATGAAGCATGTTGTGGCAACATTTTGTTGGCCAGAATATATTTATAAAGTTAGCTTGTCAGTCATTTTGCAGCTTGTTAGTTTTTAAACCATGTTTGCAATCTAGGCCTATAAGATTCTTATCAGGCCATTTTTCTTTGCAGTCGTGAATCATCAATGGAGAAAAGCATGGCTCCTCCGCAAGGTCAGTGGGGAAGTCCCATGCAGAATGAGACATTAGACTTGCAGGTTGATTATTGGACTGCTGGCTCGATGAATCAACCAAACAAAAAGGATGAGAGGAAAGAACAAAACAAGGTACGGTATACTCTTTGATATTATATTTCAGCTCATTCGTTCCCACGTGTACAACTTCAAACTTTGTGTAGAGCTGTAATTTATTATGGAATTTCTAATATTATCGTTATTTGTTTTTTGGAATCGTTTTTCTTTCGAGGTAGAAACAATGAATTAGTTCAAAGATACATCGATTTATAGCTACTTACACTGAAGAACACCAGTATAATGTTAGTTTTATCTTAAAAACAAAGATCCTTTCCCTTCTCCTTACAGTCGTCAATCAAGACTGCATTTAGATCGCTCGCTGTTACTCGATTCCCAAGTTCAGAGAATGACGATCCGAATGTACTTTTTCTTACCGCGCAAACGAAAGCTCGAAATAAAGTTGGTAAGACTGCGTATTTCTACTTAAATTGATGAAATATTATATTTTTTGTGAACATTATCCTATTCTTTGTTCAACGTCATTTTTAATTTTTTTTTTAAATTTTAAATAGAAGACGTGATTTTTAAAGGGAATTAAATAGAAGCTGTGTCTTCTATTTGAGGAAAAGTATAACCATAGAAATGTTTGAAATTTGATTCTATCCTAGACAAACTAAAAATAAGCATCCAAATTAGCATTCAGCAATAGCTGGATTCAGTAGATCCGTCTTCGTATCATTTCTGTACATCAGTGATGCTGCAGGTATGATTATTATGTTGTCTCATTTTAGTTATGCGGCTGAAAAAGACGAAAGACAAAGACACAGAATCAAAGTCAATTATCAACGCCTCTGTAAATAAGATCGTATGCACTTCCAAATCACACAGTCAGACATTTAATGGTGTGTACCATAGCTCTCTTTTTTGGTAACAAAGCCTTCAAAACTCTCTCTTCATCCTTTTTCGTTGTTGCTTCCGTAACGTGTACTATGCTTGTACTCGGTACTGTTACTCAGTAATGTTTTTCTGTATTCTATAGTTACAGTTGACGGAGCCGATTGGTGTGGTATAAAATTCTTCTCTTTATCATCTCAATGGCCAACTCATGTAAAGAACTTTCCAATTGGCATTTTTGGAACTTTGTGAGCGCTATGAAGAGAAGTCTTTTGTAGGTACCCTTTTCTCAGTTACTTATTTTATTTGCAAAGTTGAGTCACCAAGTAACTGCTAACCTTTCATTTGATTTTTGTTGTTGTATTATGTAAGTCAGTACGAACAAGCATTATCACTAAAGACGGGTATAACATGGCACCGTCTGTACAGTACAACAAACTGGTCTTCCTCATGCATTAAAGGGTTATTGGAAAATGAGTCATAGTACAGTTTCTATGTGTAGGGATTCTGTCATCAATATATCTATCTCTTGTCCTGTAACATGCGAGAAGGGCTGATTGGTTAGGATCAATGACAACAGATCCAGGAGTTTGCATGATCGAAACTTTCACTTTGTGTGAGGAGAGTCGCCAGCCCTCGAAGGTGAACGGAAATACGAAAGCAAAGACAAATACCATTACAAATTATTTCTGCGAAGAGTTTGTTGATGCTTCGACCTTGAGTGCCACAAAACTAGCATACGTAACTGTTCTGTAATTCAAGAGCCTTAAGTTTTTGATGATGGCAATATTTACTGTTTATTTGCAGCACTGATGGCTACGCTTCAAGGCCTGAAAATGAACTTCAATGGCTACTAGTTGATACCAACATATACATTGAATTTAGCATCATTTTGCCTTCAGCTCTTTTTTGCGGTATGCTGTAGTATTGATACATGTCTTAATAATCAGCTCAACAGTATTAAGCATATTAATAGAACGTTGTTAAGTGAATCGCTGCATACTATCCATGTAATATTGTTGCGAAAAGCGAGCGGTTCGTTTAAGTTTCTTTTGTAGCTAATCAAATTCTAGGCTAGAAGCTGCCTCGTGGCTAGTAACAAGAACCTAGTAGAGATGACGTCAGCTGCCATCAGCGACCGTACATGCTTCATATCATCTGGGAAATATGATGCTAATTTAAGATTTTGATACTCCTTTATACGATTTACCGTATACAATCCATAATTGACGTATTGTGTGATGACGTAAGCATTACGTAACCTTATTAACAAGCACTTTACGCTCACGGACAGTTGATGCAGAACATTTTCTCAAATACACCATCAATTTTGGAACCCACTCATTATATTTCAGACAGTTCGTCAATTTCGTTGCATGTTTGTTCGTGTTAAGTAAAGGCTTTTCCAGTCTTGAGATTTATCGTAATGTTAAAAATAAATTGATTATAAATTTTGTAGAATTATGTAGAAATTAAAACATTTTGCAAGAGGCTCTGGGAATTGAGTTTTCCACTGCTTCGCTTTATAAACAGATATAAGAACTTTCTAATTTGGAGAATGTAAAGTTACTTTTTTGTAAACAGCAAAGACAAGGAGATTAGTTATGTACCCACCTATGCATCCTGTTCATTCCTTTGTGTGTTCCAGAAACCGTGCATATTCCTTCCCCTATGAATATACTTATTAATGATCAAAACTCAATACTGTATCTATTTGTGCCTCCATAGATGAGACGTGCTCAAACCGTTTTAGATATTTGCTTTGCCACTAAAACTTTTCCCAGTTTCGGTTAAACATGTGAAGAAATTTTCTTCTAGGTAGGCTTTCACTTTCTCAAGCGTTTTACTAAAAGTTTGACTAAAATTGCTTAAAAGGAATCATGTAGTTATATTTTTTCAAATATCCCTTTCAATCGTAGAAAATTGATTGTGAGTCAGAATTGCTCATTGTTAGAATTTCAATTAAATTTTATGCAACAAATTAGCTCTTGAAAACGTCTGCACACCACCCTCCCCACCACCCCCCTTTTTTTTCTGTTCAAAGCATTTTTATTTCAAAACGCATTTATGTTTGAAATTGTTTTTGGTCGTGTGTTTTTGTATCGATTAACGTCGATGGTGGACGAAAAACCCGGTTTAGTTAATTAAAATGTTCGTTTTAATCAGTGTGTGGTAAAATTTAGTTGTTTTTGCTGTGAAAGTTTAATTGAATTTTAAGTGTAAACTAAACATATATCGTGTTCTTTGATTTATCTCCAACTTACAATCTGCGAGAAGCAAGTCTTGTTATCAACAAGGTTAGAAGAGTGGTTCACAGTGATACTTTATTGTTCAAGGCTTATTCTATTGGCTATGGTTTCAGAGAAATGCATGTTAAATATTTTGTTTAATTCAGTCGCTTTTGCTTAAAGTGTCACTTTTATTTTCACTTTGTTTTTCGTTATTTGTACCAGACAAATGAATGACTCAACATGTGCACGAAAAGCGGCTAGGCGTAAGAGGCAAAGAATTTTTAAACCATCTTATTTTGTATGAGACGGGAGGTAGAATGCAGATGCTGCATTTAATTTATTTTCAATTTAACCAATCTCAAAATCATTTCTTTGAATTCTTATCTATTATTCACGTCTTAGACCTGGTCACTCGTCTTTGTGCCTAGCAGCTTCCCCAGGACTCAACCTTGGGGCAAAGCACTCAATGGACAACCCGTACACCTTTGGTAGAAGTCCTACTGTTTTATCGGTAAATCCCTAGAAATCCTTTTACTTTGGCAAAATCTTGTAAGCTTTTCATAAGGGCGCAATGATCCCTCAGACACAACTCTTTGTCTCATTGATACAATAAAAAATATCTTTGATTTATTTTTTCAGAATTTAAGACCAAAACTATTCGAAACGTCAAGCTTACCAACTAGCACTGCTATTCACATGTCGTTTCCCAATCGTTAGGCAGAATGTACCACTTTTTCTTTTTAAGTTGAATTGGAAAAATATTAAACAAACAGCTGATTAGTTCGTAACAGCACGGTATTTTGCTGGGCCTAACCAGTTTATGAAACTAGTTTTTAAAAACTCTAGACAGAAGTTACAATATAAGTAGTAGTGCAAAAATTGCTCCCTTAGAAAAACATGCCATGGGCATCAGCGAGTCAGTTGCGAGGCTGCGATCCCAAAAAGGGTCATTGGTGCATCATCGAGAGCGAGTGGGCCATTGGTGCATCGCTCTTTGGTAATGATGAACAGCACTCTTGTAATGAGAATTTGTCAAGCAAAGTGTCACCCATTAGTCCTCCACCCTATGTCAAATTATCACAATCCACTATTTCAGCCCTCACCTTAGTCCGAAGTCAAAGGCTCCTCATTGCAAAAAATCTTATAGAACAAGTACAAGAAAAACGTAAGAAAGCAAATTGATAACTTATACCTAGAAGAAGACTTGCAAAGTGTCAACAATGGGATTGGAAGTTTTATTTAAGTCAAAGCCGTGAAAAGCCCCAATCGTTGTCACACGATCATAGTGACAAGCTAACGCCTCATGGTATGAGAAAACTAGAACAGCATTTGTTAACTCCGTTCTAAACTTGGATCATTTATCTCACCTCAGCGAAAAAAATTGCTGTATATAGTATAATAGAAAGACGTGACCATGTTTACTGGTGTGAATCATGGTCTTGGTATCATGAATAAGGGAAAAAACCATGCCAATTCCACATTAAATTTTTTCGTAACTGACACGTGGTCGCATGCCCACGATGGTTAATGCAAAGAGGAGGCACTCAAAGCTTGCACCGTATCGCCTTTGGAGGAAGAAATGTAAAGAGGGTTGGAAACATAACTGTTCCTAGAATGCTTTGAAAAAAAAAAAGAAACTTATTCCTTCGAAAAGTAGCCGAGACGATAATCAACATCATTATCATAATAGACTTTGAGTTAATATTCCTTTGCGCATGACCTTAAATTTAGCTACAACAACAACGCGGAAAAACACCTTCGAAGTGAGTTCGTGGAAAAGTTTGCTATGCAGGTGGTGATAACATGATTACCTGCACATTATCACCTGATTGGTAATACGTAAATAAATTGGGGAAAGAGTAAGACGCAAGGTATGTGAAGGTCGCTTAATTGAGGTTCTTGCGATATTTTTCTCAAGATTTTCATGCAGAATGTGCAGGCCTAAACTAGGTACAACAGTAGAATTGAAACTAATTTTTCAATATTTTAAATGATATTTTGTAAGGGCTTTGCAATATTTTTAAAGAGAGTGGTCTGTGAGTGTTGGTCAAGACAGTTCCGGTTACTGTATTACGTAGGCAATAATACATAGTTCTTGTTAATACATAAATAAAGTTCTTTACAAATCGTTTTTGCCTAGGAGTATTGCATCAAAAATAAAGCAGGATGTCTTCTGATGGTGACACTTTGGATTCACTGAGAAAATTTATGCTTGAGCAGACTAAGCAAAAAAATCGATTTAGTAGACGAAACAGGCTGGATGAAATTGTATCTGGCTTGTATGTAGGTGACTGGTAAGTTTCCCTTTCAAGTTGTATCGTGCTACTTTGAAATCTTTGTCAATGATTCTCCAGTTCAACATTGTTACTCTCCTAATGATTGATTCACTGGCATTTCATACTTGTTTATTTATCAAATGCACGTTTGTGGTTTTCTGCTTTCAAGATTACTTTTTCTTGGCTGAAAATATTTTTCTGAACATATTGGTATATATTTCTTTTTTTTATCCCTTTCTTGATCTGAAATCATTCTATCTTGCCCTATGTTTTTAGTTCAGCTGCAACATCACTAGAATGTTTACATGTTCTTGGAATCACCCATGTATTGAATGCTGCAGAAGGCATTGACTTTAACCAGATAATGACAGGACATGCATTCTATGAGGGTACTGCTATTATTTATCATGGTATTTCTGCTGATGACAAAGACACCTTTGATTTGCAAAAACATTTTGAGGAGGCAGCAAACTTTATAAGAGATGCTATAGGTATGTAAACCTGGGTTATATATTGTCATTCAGTCATAAGACTCCCAGCATTCACATTATTTGCAACATCTAACAATGGCAAAATTTACTTGCAGTTGTATGCTGTAAGAAGAAGTGATTCTTGTACTCTTATTTTGTGGTTAATTTGTGTCTTAAGATAATAATTTAATGACATTATCAGGCATCTATGCAAGGTGCACTGTCTATAGTCATACAAGAATCTTTCAGAATTTTGAAAATTTTATCAGTTCTTATTGCAGAGCTGTAATCAAAATCAATAAATAAGATAAAAACAATGATGGATTTTTTATCAAAAGATGAGGAGAACAGCATAGGAAAACATGTTATGCTGATATGCTGTTTCCAAAATAAGGTTTTGCAGTTGGCCTTTAAAAAGCACCATTTCAAACAAGACAAGTCATTTGCCATTTTACTTGAGGTCTTTGTCTTTGTCTTTGAAGGTGTTTGTCTGCATTAAAATTCAACTGCAGTTAATCAAGACTTTTGTATTTGTTTCTTCCTAGCATCCTAAGGTAGTTTTAAGGACCCTGAGAAGCTATGCTTATCAAGCAGTATCCTGGTTCTTCCTCTCAATGTGACCCACACCTCAAGATTCTTATGTCTGGAATTACAGAGGTGGCGACTGCCCTCACTCTGAAAATTTGTTCATGACAGGCAGTGGCGTACCCAGGGCCGGAGAATTGGGGGGTCTGGGGCAGAATTTTTTTGGACCACGCCCTTCAAACACTTGCAAATGCGGGGAAATGCCCTTTTTGCAAAATTTTCTGCTATTATTTTATTCATGTTAGCTACAGTAAATAGCAAAGTATTTTAATTGTTATTGACACAAGCATACAGTATACTACACCCCCCCTCCCAATGAGTTTTACATCGTTTTTGGACAAATCTCAAAGATCACATTTTAGAAAAATGGGGGGTCCAGACCCCCCTATTCCCCCCTTGGGTACGCCACTGATGACAAGCTCAAAACATGAACCCTTGGGTCTGTAGTCAGCGCTTCTAGCAACTGAGCCATTCTCACACAAAATTTTTTGTCATACTACAATTTCTTAAGTATTACAGAATTTAACTTTTGTGCAAATATCTTTGGGCTTGTAGGTACAAAAGACCACCCAAAAGGAAATGCAAAGATTCTGGTACACTGCATGGCAGGAGTGAGTCGGTCTGCTACATTTGCAGCAGCATATCTAATGAGAGATCACAAACTTAATGTGAGAGAGGCTCTTAGAACAATGCTTGATAAAAGGGTTATTTTTCCAAATGATGGTTTCTTTAAAATGCTTGCTCAATTACAACAAACAGCTTGGGTATGAGAAATAAAGTTATTTAAGCTTATTGTTTTTATCACTGGAATGATTTTTGCCAGCATGTTTTGTGACAGATGACTAAACCAAGCTGTTGTGGCATGGTGAGGGTTTATGCAATGACAATACTACAATTAATTATATTTGTTTTATAAATCATGATTGGAAATGTATGATATGTATAGTGTATAAAAATGTGATGTTTGACTAATCTGGATACATTTTGTTGTTCAATTCTGCTGCACTGATCCTTTGAAATAACAGGAACTTTTATTGTTGGTTCTTTTTCTTCCTTTTTTGGCTGGTCTCTCTAATTAGAAGACATACTTTTGTACATGAAAGGGACAATAAAATAGAAGAATAAAGAGGGAGGTACCTTTTAATGAAATCTGGTCAGGCATTAGTTTGGCACCCATAATTTCAAAGGGCTTTGCAGATATTCAATATACAGAATTGTGGCTCTCTTCCTTTGGAAAATATTGAATTTAAAATATTCAAAATGTAATCTTCATATTGCAACATAAGATAACTGGACTTAATAAAATGTCAAACCTCATAAAAGTCAATATTGAACCCGATTGGCTAATGCTATACAATCATATTGTTTGTTTAGTATAAAGCATGTGATCGATGTAAAAATTGCCATAAAAATTCATAAAATTAACGTTTTTGCAGAGTCCAAAAAAGTTGTTAACGTTCCTCCAGACAAAAAATATCCCAGAAGGCAAACCTTCCTCGCAAAACAATAGAAAGTGGACGTGGCTTAGGTGTGTCATAGGCGCTTCTATTGTTTCTCGTGGAACTCCCTCCGGTCAGTGGCCGTGCAACCGTAATGCCTCACTCTGCGTTTTTGATTATGCTCCAAAATTTAGCTTCTTTTTACACGGAAATAAAAAGTCTGGTTAGGATTCAAACCTATTATTTCGCAGTTCCCTTAGAAAGGACCTTTCGTCTCTCGGCGTCGTAGACTACTTCGGTCTGCCAGCCGACAAGTAATGCAATTTCACGCAGTGGCGGATTTAAGGGGGGCAACTGCCCTTAGTTGCCCCTCCCTCAACGAGTTGAAGCAAGTCTGGCGCCCCTTTTTTGGAAATTGTGCGCCCTTTTTGAAGAATGAGAATCAGATGAAAAAGGTTCTTGGACCGATGGGTTAATTTGCTTCAAGGATTACCTCAAAGTTATGTTGTTTATTCTGAAAAGGTATCTGAATTTGTTGTATACAGCGTACTCACGTAACCAATTTTTGAACATTTGTCAGCGCCCCCACTACCAACTGCCCCTCCTTCAAATTTGCTCTGGATCCGAAAATCTGCTATTTTCGCAGAAAGCATTTTGTAAGCGCTTCTCCGCAAGAGGCATAATGACTTAAGGCTGATTTCCACGAGGCGAATTTTGCATCGAATTTGCTGCGAATTCTCTTCGAAATTGTCTTTTGATTTCCACGGGACTGGGAATTCGCTGCAAAAGAATATATTGATTTCCCCCCAAACTCAACTTTAAGGCGCCCATTTTCAGAACTGCACGCATGGCGAATGTTCCAAGACTGTCTTCTCACAAATCAAGCAAATTTACCATGCTTCGACTCGTTATTAGGTGCTGCGAAATATTTCGCCGCGAAAAAGTAGAATTATTTTCTACTTTGCTGCGAAATCAAAAATCAAAACTGCGCATGCCTTGATCCCTTCTTCAGCGACTTCGCCGCGAATTCCCTGCGAAATTCGCCTTGTGGAAATCAGCCTTTAAAGGACCTTTAAGCTCGCCTACTTTCTGAAGTATGCAAAGAGGTTGCAACCGAGCCATTGCTGCTGCCCCTCACCTAACTATGAAGATAGTGCTGGCCTGGATATAAAGACCAGGGGGTTCTACCGGCCGGCACAAACAGCATGCTTCGATGTGAGAGTGACTAATCTGAACGTCGAGTGACAAAATAATTTGACAACAACAAAACTTCTAAAAAATGCAGAAAATAAGAAATAAAGAGCTTATAATCAAAGCAACACAGAGGTAGAGCATGGAACGTTTACACCATTAGTGTTTGGGACCAATGACTCTATGGGTAAAGAATGCCAAATTTTCCACACAAAAAATTTGCTTTGAAACTTTCAGTAAAATTGAACAAGAAATATTCCGAAGTGATCAGTGACATTAGGACTCAAGTATCCTTTAGCTTAATAAAATCTAGTTTGTTGTGCTTGAGAGGATCAAGGATTGTTGTTTAAATAGATTTAAACAACAGCTTTTTGAATTGTTGTTTAAATAGATTTTTTGTTTTTTGGGTAAATTAATTTAAAAAACTTTTATACTGAGGAAAAAATTTAGGTTTTTAGATTTAAATAATTTTTGGAAATTTGTTTGCGAGTTTAGATGGATGAGATTAAAATGAAATTATCAAGAAAAAATTTACAAGCGCTTTTCACTCAGGACGTGGTTTTCAAGAATGCCTACGTCTCGAGGCCTTTATAAATTTTCTGGTTGATGTTTTGTGAATTGTTTGGAATACATAAATGGCATCGAAACATCAACAATGTCTTGCGAAAATTTCATGGAAATTGTTACCGTACTTTTTTAATGAAAAATATTTCATAAAAGACTTTCTAAATTTGCTGCATAGAATGTCTTCGAAATGTCGAAGTTTGTCCTAATGCTCCTCTTTTATGAGAAGTAACCCCCCACCTTGTTTGTGGTATTTCCATTTGCTTGAATGCCCTTAAAACAAGGTTCATTCAGTTTCAGAAATGTTGGTATTTTAATTTTGCACCTAAGTGCAATTGAAGAAGACGCCATGTAGTGTTCGAAGAAAGTATGATCAGGACCCGCGCCACCGGGGGGCGGGGTGGCCATTGCCGCCCACTTTTTTGCGAAGCAAGTAGTACAAGCCTTGCGAAGCTGTAGTATAAGGGGTAAGAAGCCTTGGCCTCCTACTTTTTTAGCCTTAGTCCCCCATTTTCAATTTCGTGGCGAGGGCCCAAGAAGGAGGAAATGAGGAATAAAATTCAATTTCAATGGTTTTTGGGATCTGCCTCGATTGGATCAATCTGATAGAAACAAAACGAGACTGTAACCCGCCATCTTAGAATCCTTTTCGCAGACCATTGAACTGTCCCAAACAGAAAACAACCGTGGTAGTTCGCAGATAACAGATACAAGTTACGTTCAAATAACAGGTAGGTTTTCGCGAGAAAGCTTTGGAATGAGAATGTATTAGAGTAAAACTTTGGAAAGAAAGACAAAACAAGTGTAATGGACTGAAGTCTTGGTGAATGCCATCACTGCCTGCCTGCCGTCCATATAATATAATCTAAACAATCTAGGCATGTGTGTTGTAAATTGAACTTATTTAGTACCAATTATTTATAAACAGCCAGTCTGTTGGCAGAAGGATCTTACATTTTTTATCAAAACATTTTGCATAAATAAACGATTGTGTACCTATATCACATACTCGTGATGTCCAAGAATCGTTTGCCTTTAGGCCCAGGTGTTTTTTTCGGTTGACTTATGTAGTGGGATTATATGTATTTTTTTATATTTAATATCATTTAGTCATGTTTAAGTCCCCCTGTCTTTCAATCCGTATACAAATTTAATTGTTAGAAGTTCAGACATTGTGCTGGCGATTGCAGATATGACAGGTGGATCAGAAAGTGGTAATGAAGACGTTGAGGTCGAACATGACTCAAAGGTGAAAGACGAAAAACAAGAAAATAATATTACTGAAAATGAAGATTTGCCAAAGCTAGAAGACTTAGATGAGGATTCCAGAGGTCAAGCCCAGGATGAAGAACCTTCAAATGATAAGCAAGAAAGCAAAGGAGAAAATTCTGATGAAGAAGAACAAGAATCAGTGTCAAGCTCGTCTGAATCAGAAAGTGATTCTAGTGAGTATAAATTCAACTTTATATTCCAATTTTATTTGTTTTGTCAGAAATGACATAGTTATGAGGACCAGCAGTAGTTTTAGGGACTGTCTCACCCAGGGCCAAACAGGGGCACCTACACAAGGGGGGCTGGAGGGGTGGCTGCCCCTCCTACCCTCTTCGAAGAAGGGCAGAGGGGGCAATAAGTGCCCTGAAATATGATGACTACTTTGACTACTCTCGTTATGTTAATATATATTAGAAAATACTAGAAAGATGATAACACCAGCACAAAAATGCAGAGAATGAAAAGTTTGTCTATGACAAGGTCGGCCACATAGGGAGAGCGGCAAAGATAATAAATGATAAACAAAAGATGTGTTCCCTCAGAAGTACTCCAGGAACCTAAGGAGGATAAATCGGTATAAAAACTTAGCGGGCAGTCAAAGTTTTACAACCAGCCCATTTATAACAGCTATGATTTTTATAAAATCAAAACTTGTGAATAGTGAATGACAAAGCCATTTCATAACCATTTTCATTTATGGTTAATTTCGTCAACATTTTCTTTATGTTTAGAATCTTTGTTGCTAAAAAACCCAGCTGTATAGGTGGCACATATTCAAATTAATATTTTATTATATTACCCTGCCCTCCCCCCCTCCCACCTAGGAATGCGCAATTATGTTAATAGAAAAATTCAATGATTTGCCTTCGGCACCAACACTGCCCCTCCTGCCCTAATCTTGTGCAGGCGTCCCTGGGGCCAAAAACATGCTGAGGGCCCTTGTTCTTTACAATTTCTATCTTTTTTCTTAGGTGTGGCCTGTGGGGCCCTTTTTGGCATAAGTGCAGGCCCCCCTGGACCCCCCTAAAACTGTCACTGATGAGAACAGCTTTTGATGGAATTATTTTATCTTGAGTGCACCTATAGTCACATTCTGCTATTTTCCATTTTCAGGGCCTCCAACAAAGAAGGGGGCAAAGGGGGCTATGGTCCCCCACTTTTTGCAAAACAATAGAGCTCTTTTAAAAAATTGTTGTTATTATTGTTAAAATCTCCCTCCCTCCCCCCCCCCCACTTTCCAACCTGTGTCGAAGCCCATAATTTGATGTTATTTCTTTTCTAAAACAAGACTTATACTAGCTGTATTCTCCTTTCATTTGTACTTTTTAAGAAAAGTGAAAATGAAAATTTTTTTGGTGGTACAGAAATTGAAAATGGCTTCAAAAAAGCAAACATTTCACAATGTACTACTGAAAGTTTTTTTGCCCGACTCTCCTCAGAGAATAAAACGTCAGAATAAGGGACCAAAAGAACACAGTGGAAAATATATATCCAGTTGTGGATTGAAATAGGCCAATCAGAAAAATGCAAGCACATGACCAGCATAATTGTCCAATCAGTGCTATGTGTCTATAGAAAAGTTACCACTGGAGTCCAAGAGAGAAAACAAACTCCTTCTGTCTACACAGAAGACCTGTCACTACAGCTAGATTAAAAGACCATTAGGATCTGCGAATTATCTGAAATGTCATTACAAAGTTTTGCACAATCTGTTTTGTCCAAAAGGTGTTGTTCGATGGCAGAGTCACTATTTTTTACTCATTTAAATGTTTAATTTTGTGTAAATTTCTTGTTAGTTAACTTTTCCTAAACTAGCCCTGATTTGCAATAGGCCAGAATTCTTTGTGCAAGTCAAACTATTTTTATAATTATCCTGAATTGTTGATAGTTTTTTTCTCATGTGCCTCAAAATGATGCATTTGTCTCAATTTCAGTGGATGAAGAGGAAACAGAGAACAGAAGACTCAAATATAAAGAAGACATTTTTGACCTTGAAAAGCAATTTTCTGATTTGAAAGAACAGTGAGTTTCTTGTAACAAAATTCTCAAGTACCTTTTTAGCCATCATATGTCATTTCTATTTCTTTCAACAAGAGAACTTACTGTTCAGGAAGGCCAGTGATTACAATCCCAATCCATCACCGAGCTTGGAGAATTTCAGGATAATCATAAGTCCCTTGCTAATTGAATTGTACTTTTTACACATGGTTAGAATTTAAGGTTATGCACAGGTCAAAAATGCAAAGGTCTTCTCTTTTTGGAAGGAAAGTGACAGGCAACCAGCCCTGTCCTGCATCATTACCTGGTCAATAATTAACTGAAACCAACCTTAAAATGTGTTTCATGTTGAAAGCTTTGTTTTGTTTTGTCATGAATCTTGCACTACAATAAAATGTTTTAGCTTCACATTTTGCAAGGTAATCCATAGACTTAAACATGAAGCATTGATATGGCCAAAGCCAGAGTTCATCATTTGTCAAAAAAACTTGGCAGGGCCACTGTTTGTTCAGAGAATCTCTAATTGCAGCATCATTCATTGGTGAAAATTTCTGTAAAATGCTGATCAATCAGAAAATGAATCTACACCTGGAAGTGATATAAATTCATGCTCTTACTCTTTCTGGATTGCAAATTTTCAAATAGTTCTATTTAACTTGTAAAAAAAATCAGATCTTGTCTCAAGATTTCTTTGATTCCATCACAAAAATAATTTTTGGTTTATAATTCTTTATTTCTTTGTTAGACTATACAAAGAGAAGGTGAATCAAGTTGAAAACCAGCTGATTGAAGTCCAAACCAGTGAGTAAATAGTTCAAATTTCAAGCTTTATCTAGAATACTTTCAGAATTATAAAGCTTTATTATAATATTTCTTAAAGAATTATATACACATATAACATTTTTGTAGTATCAACTAAGAATCTGAAACTGAATCAGTTGAAAATTAAGAGTTGTAAATTTTTTAGACACAGCTAGTGAGTATGTCATTCCATTGAAAGAGCTGGAGGACTCTTCAAGAATAAGGAGTGAAGTTGCAGGTAAATTTTGAATCCTTCATACAAATGACATTTTGGAAATGTGTTTTGATAAAAATATGCTATTTTTGCTTTAAAGCTGCATATATATCCATTCAAATTTTGTCCTTATATTCTTATATACTGGGGATTATTGATTATAATCAGTGTAACAGATTGTAAATAGCTTTAAAGTATGTTTTGATTGCTACACTACTATCAAACAATTATATCATGTTAATTTTTCAAAGCAGTTTTTCTCTTTGTATAGATGCTCTATTATAATTTATTACTTTTTCAACTGGATGGTTTTGACTTGAAATTTTGGTCCTATAGTCAACTGCACAAAAGTGCCAGAAAATTGATATTTCATAGATAAACTGAAGAGGCTATTGTTCCCTTTTTTGAAAGTGCAAAAAAGCAAAGTCTTCTTTTGAGTAACTTATTTGAGATATTCAATTATCCCTTTTCACTGTCTATCTAGATACCAGAAATTAGATTCATAAATTTATTTTGTAGGTCATCTTAAGGAGTACAGGGTATGTAAGATTTTTTCTTGATATTTTGCAGCACTTTGTTGCACCTCTAGTGTCTGCCACTATATTGGGGCAAATCATTGGACATCCATTTGCACATTTTCTAATATTAGTCTTCTGTTAGCCATCATTTTTTAATAGAAAGATGTCAATCTGTAGTTTGATAATTCATTTTAGTTGACTGCTTATCTGAAATTGACAATGATCCCTTGCAAGTATAATATGAAAAATACCTGGTTTTTAAGAATTTTTTTAATTGTCAGATTAGATGAAGAACCTTATGAACAATCAAAGTTTAAATGCGAACAACCTAACTGTAATTTTTGCAAAATAAATCTGCTTAGTTTTATCATTGTTTTGGCAATAAATAAAGAATGATTTGCATTGTCTGTACAATTCTTCTGATTTTCTATCTGATAGTTGATTTCCTTGGATCATAAATTCAAAGCGGAAGTGCAGGCTTTAGACCAACATTTTCAGGTATGTGCATTTGACTGTAATTTTTATGAACTGTCATGTCAAAACTGTTATTTTGGTTTGCAAAGATCGTTTCTCAGTCACACAGTCAGCTAGTATGGCCTGCTTGGTCTCTCAAAATAGTTGTATTGTTTTGACACCCACCCCACCCCAGTTGATTGCATAAATTTATTTTTCTTTGAATCACTAAGCAAAGTAATAAAAAAGTTAGGATAAAGCTCCGTTGATGAAAATATGATGATGGTTCGTTATCATCAAGTGTTATCCAACTGAAAGCTTTATCATTTAGGCATTATAGATATTGTTTGGTAAGTATCTCGTGAATATCAATAAGCCAAATAATATTGGTCATGATCTGTTCAGATAATGGTTAAAAGCTATCTGAAAGCTGCATCAGGTTAAAATGCATCACATCTAACCTAGTATCTACTTTTTTGGTTTAACCTAGTTTTTTTGGTTTTCTTTTGTTTAATCTATGCTGGTTATTATTCACGGTTAAAACAGATGGCAGAAGGCACATTTGTACTATTGCTATAAGTGGAGATTTTGGGAAGTGAAAAAGAAATCAATTTTTATGAAAAAAGACGCTTTGTTTGCATTTCTATGATGCAATAGAAGCCAAAACCTAATACAACAAACGGTTTTATGTGAATGTCTTATCTTATGTGGAATTTTGTCTAATGGTGAAGCAACTGATGTTTTACCCAAGCTGTTTCTTTGTATTATTACTTTAAGTTCCAGAAACCCATTTCTCCCTATCATAATTTCTTTCTAATTTACCGATTTTAGAACGAAAAGCGGAATCTTTTAGAAAACATGAAAGCTGAGTTAGAGGAGAGACTTCGCAAGGTTGAAGAAGATCGACATACTGTAGAAATGTATTCAGGTCAGTTGATGGAAAAGAGCGGGAAAGTTTTCTTTCAAATTCATAATATGAACTGCGATATACCATAGTAGGAGGTCCCAACAGTGAAAAAATTGCAGCCTAGCAAGTTATTCAACCACTTGCAAAAGATAGTCAACAATTTTAAGTTTGAATGGCTTATTTTGCAAAGCGCAGCAGACCACCAAAAAAGTTCTCAAATCAAATTTTCGTACAAATGAGGGATGACGTTTTTGGAACGTGTTTGAATCTTACAAAAGAGCTTTTTCACTCTCTATTTATCAATCATATTACTTGTAGAATAGCTTAAGATCAGTGGATTCTTACATGACCAAAATTTAGGATGGCTGGGTTTTCGTTTTGGCTGAATGCCAGCTGTCTTATAATGTCAGTTTATTTTTGATACGCTATTAATTGTTGTAAAATGGATCACTATGCCTGACTGTATTTCTGTCTCCATAATTTAATTTGTTAAGTCGTTAGTAGCTCAACAAAAGAATGTACGGTGTTTGGGGATGTATAATTGCAAGAAGTTTCGAAGCACTTCCAATGCATTTGAATGGATTATTTGGGCTGTATTGCGAAGGTGCAGAGTTTTAGCTTATATCTTTGAAGCAGGAAGATACGATTTTCAATCCCCCTTTATCAAAGTTGTAAACACTTGTTTATAGTAGATTGGGACATTGCAATCTTTATTTTCTCGTAGATATTTGGCTAGATGACAGTATCTATGCCCGGAAACGTAAAAAAGGAATGGAAATGTTTATACCAGAGAAGAGAAAACGACCTGTAACCGTATCAGGTTGGCACTGTTAAAATACTATGCATCAAAGATTGTTGTTTATAGTAATGCTGTTTTTTTCTTCTGATTTTTGACACCCAGTATTGTATTCCTTTGTGGCCAAAAGACCTTTGGACAAGCATTTACGTCTTATTTTTGTCAAATGTATCGAAAAATCTCCTTCTCAGCTGTTTTTCATGTCTAACCTAAAGCTTTTGGTAGAAACACTCTTTAGGCCACGTTTAAGGGTGTATCCAATTGGTTTTTCTCGTTGCATCACGCACACTCCTTACTAATGGTACAACCAAGCTTGGCTAAGAATTCTATTACTTTTCGGCATAAAGTTTGTTACCATTTTTTTCTGTGATATGAATACAATATAGGTAAATAAATATACAATTATTAGATAATAATTGGCACTTAATATTGAAGATATGTCCCTTGGCTTTGTAAATATCAATAAACGTATTGTTCTTCGTCACCCTGATCTGATTGGAAAAATCGATGCAACTGCTAAACAGTATTTCAAGTAAATAATTTAAATCCATATCTAAGAGCATTTGAGTGTTTATGCTTGATATTTATTTCTATATCCACTTTTAGGACCATATATTGTTTACATGCTCCGAGAAATGGATATTCTTGAAGACTGGGCTGCAATTCGGAAAGTAAGTAAGACAAGTTTTTTAAATTCTAGCTGAATGCGGATTCTGTTTTATCAAGATTCCCATTTGAACTCCAAAATTTTTTGTTTCTAAGGGGGATTTGCCGTACACATCTTAGTTTGAAGATTTAGTATCCATAGGAGTACATTTAAATGAGCTTCAATATTGCCTCTGCTAATTTGAGCTCCTCGTTTTCTATTTTAAAGGCTAAAAGCGAACTGGCACGACGAAAAACCGAAGGTTTGTTCTTATGTAGTTTTTTCTCGTAATTCTGCACTTTACCGCGTAAAAAGTGATTAATTTTAATCCGATTGATTGGGTCATCTATTTTAATTACCGATTTTTTACAGTAAATTGTAGTGAAAGTTAGCATGATGTAAAACACTGTAATGTGAAACGTCATGTAAATGGGGAAGTCAAATGATTAGGGACCACCCGTTGAGGCATTTAAACGCCATGATGGCAATGTGTTTATTTTCCATCGTTAATCTTGTAAAGCAGGGTCTTTCGACGACGTTTCTTTTATTTTCAGAGCTTTGTGTTATAAATCTGTTAGCTTTCCAACAAATCTATAACTTACTAATTACTAAATTTCCAAGCGATATTCAAAGAGTGCATATCTAGACTAAATCTGAGCAAGTGCCTGCAGTTTTTCTACAAAAATTGTGAAGTTCTTTTTATGTCTTTAGATTAAGGATTATCCCATAAAATGTTTCCGTTAAATGCTTTTCGATTTATCTGCTGGTGAAGACGCACCCCTATGTATTTGAAAGTTTTCACTTAATCAATTTTGTTAGTTCAAAGCTTGATATTCCCAATTGGCTTTGTCTTTGTTACGTTTCAAAAGACCTCATAGCGTTTGTTACGTTTCAGCGTTTTCACATACTTGGCATTTTTAGCATAAAGTATAAGTCTACTTTCAGCAAACCATTTTCATGCTCATTTTCTAAATTTGTATCAAACCATCTTCATCTCAATGTTCTTTCTTTATTCGTCACCTACAGAAAGCACTGTATCTAGGCTGCAAATTAGGGTGAAACTCAAGCTGAAATTTTGGTGAAAATCAGGATGAAAATCAGTATAAAAATCAAAGTGAAATTCGTTGTGAAATCAGGCTGAAA